CGTTGAAGAACTTTGAAGGGTCCTTCGTATGCTGATTCGAAGGGTCGTCGATGCGAGTCTCGACGAACGAAAACGTGTGTACTATATCGTAAGTCAGGTTGAACGAAAACATCAGTTGATTGAGGTCGAGTGGAAGCAGGTTTAACTGAACGCATTGCGTTTGTAAGCCTGTTCGTGTAGGAGGTTAGATCCATGTTCATTGAAGAGGATGAAGGATCCACGAATTCTCCTGGAAGTCGAAGTGTCGTACCATAAACGAGTTGAGACGCAGTGTATCCAATGTCAGCTTTCACTGCATTGCGGATACCTAGTAAGACGAGTGGAAGAGCGTCGGTCCACTGTGAAACGTTTGTAGCTGATAGCGAAGCTTTCAGTTGTCGGTGAAAACGTTCTACCAACCCGTTTGCTTGTGGATGGTAGGCGGTCGTTCGGAAGCGAGTGATTCCTAAAAGCGTGGTCAGACGACGGAAAAGATCGGATTCAAACTGACGTCCGCGGTCTGTAGTAATGGTTGAAGGGCAGCCGAAGTTTGCTACCCATCGTTCGACGAAGGTGCGAGCCACTGTTTCAGCAGTGATGTCCTTGATAGGTACTGCTTCTGGCCATCGAGTGAAACGGTCTACGCAGGTTAAGAGATAAGAGTATCCATTTGAATCCGGTAAAGGTCCTACCAAATCCAGATGAACATGGTCGAAACGAGCATCGGGAGTTTTAAACGAGCCTAAGGGACATTTATTGTGTCTGATAACCTTAGATTTTTGGCAGCTTACACAGGAGCGTGCCCACTCCCTCACGTCTTTATTCATGCCAGGCCAGCAAAACCTTTCTGCTATAAGCTTGATGGTTGCACGAACACCTGGATGCGAAAGTTTGTGCAATGTATTGAAGACATTGCGTCGATAATGTTTCGGCACGATTGGGCGATCCCTACCTGTAGATGTGTCACAAAGTAAGGTTTCCTTACCTGTTCCCATCTGTTTGATGCGTAGTTTAAGGGTTGTGGACGATAACTCGTGCTGAAGATCACTGTCTTCTTTTTGAAGCTCGGCGAGTTTAAGAAGGTCGATTCCTTGGAAACTGTTCAAGGAAGTTATGCGAGATAAAGCGTCTGCAACTACATTGTTTGCTCCAGAGATGTGTTGAATATCTGAAGTAAACTGCGAAATGTAGTCCAGTTGTCGAGACTCACGGGAGAGTACTTGTCAGAAGGAGAGCTTAACGAGAAAGTGAGCGGTTTATGGTCCGTGAAAAGAGTGAATTCACGACCTTCGATGTAGTGTTGGAAATGCCGTACAGCACAATACATAGCTAGGAGTTCCCTACCGAATGTGCTGTACCTCGATTCGGTGTCTAGCAACCTTCTTGAGAAAAATGCCAAGGGTTGCCAGGAGTTGTTAACCCACTGTTGTAAGACTCCTCCGATTGCCGAGTCGGATGCGTCTACTGCGATGCTAATGGGTGCTCGGGTGTCCTGATGTGCGAGCATCGTTGCTTTAGCAATCAGTTCCTTAACTGTGGAGAATGCTTTTCGTGCGGTGTCGTCCAAATTAATGGATTTCGCATTTCCACGAAGTTGGTCGGTCAGAGGTTTCATAAGTAATGCGCATTTCGGTATGAAACGTCTATAGAAACTTACCAGGCCGTTAAACGTGCGTAATTGCTTGACGGTGGTCGGTTCTGGGTAATCCAGAATGGCCGCCACTTTGGTCCTAAGAGGTCGAATGCCTTGAGCATCGATAGTGTGTCCTAGGAAGTCTAACGAGTCGGTTCCGAATTGGCATTTCTGAACGTTTACAGTTATGCCATGTTTTTGAAGTCGTTCGAAAACAAGATCCAGATGCTTGAGATGTGTTTCTCTGTCCGGACTTGCGATTAGACAGTCGTCAACATACGCGTGTACGAAGTTGAGACCTCGAAAAACGTCGTCTATGAATCTTTGGAATGTTTGAGCAGCATTCCTTAGACCGAAAGGCATTCGCAAAAATTCATAGAGTCCGAAAGGAGTTATGATAGCTGTTTTCGGTATGTCGTCAGTAGCCATAGGGATTTGGTTATACGCTTTAACCAAGTCGATTTTCGAAAAGACAGTTGTACCTTTCAAGGTAGCTGTCAAATCGTGAATGTGAGGCAACGGGTAACGATCGGGAATGGTTTTCGCGTTCAATCGCCGATAGTCACCAGTTGGACGCCAATCGTTGCTGTCCTTTTTAGGGACCATGTGCAACGGAGATGCATATGGGCTACTTGACGGTCGTATGATTCCTAAGTCCATCATGTGATCGAATTCGTTTTTCGCTAACCTTAGCTTTTCAGGAGCTAGTCGTCGTGCTTTAGAGAATACAGGTGGTCCTGTAGTCGTGATGTGATGTGTAACATTGCTGGTTACACACGGTAGTTTCGGTTGAGTTTGTTGTATCCCAGGGTACTTATCGAGTAGTGGTTGATAGAGTGGGTCTATCATATGTTTAACTGTGACTGGGGATACTCTACAACCAGTAAAAGAAGTTACGCAAACGGACAAATTAGTGTTTCCGTCTACTAGCCTCCGTTTGCGCGTGTCGATGATCAGATTGTGGTGTTGTAGAAGGTCCATACCAATGATTGGCATAGAAACATCTGCAACAACGAAAATCCAGTGGATGGGTTTGCGTAAACCCACGTTAAGGTAAACGTACCTTTTGCCATACGTAGCGATCGGTTTTCCGTTTGCCGCTTGTAAGTTAAAAGCCGATTCCTGAAGCCGGTCGTTAGGATTTGCTGGGAGAACGCTAACTTCTGCGCCAGTGTCGACGAGGTAACGAACTCTCGTTGTCACATCTGTGACGAATAACAGACGGCTATGTTCGCCGGCTACGGTTGCCGTTAACGCGTGCCGGCTTGGAAGTTTCCCGAATTGCTTTTCGAATCAGTCGGTTTCGTGTTGGGAAAATTGCAGGGTTTTCTGCAATTTCTGGAAAACTTTCCATACTGGTTATGATACCAGCACCAGTCGGGGTTATCTGTCTCTCGTGGTCTAGAGACAGATCGCTTACGAGAAATGCTTCTACGTGGTGTGCGCGATCTCTCACGGTCGGTACGAAGACTAAGATAACGCGTGAGTGTGTGACATAAGTCGTTTATATCATTCTGAGTCGTTTGAGGTTTTTCTTTGACTGAAAATACCTCGGTTGTAGGTTTCGTAATTTCTAAAATGCGGTCGGCAGATGCAGCTAGTTCGTCTAAGGCGTTGTTCTGGAACGAGACCAGAACTGCTTGCACCTGTTGGGGAAGTTTTGACAAGAAGAGTTGTTTGAATAGGCCTTCGTCGAAAGTTCTTGGGCCTATTACCTCTCTCATCCGTTGCAACATGTCTGTCGCAGAACCGTGTTGCAGGTCGATATTGTTGAAGAGTTGATCTAACCTTTGTCGATCGGTTAGGTCTCCTCGTTTGAGAATCGAGCGTTTTAAGATTTCGTAAGGATCGGAAACATCACTAGTAAACATACTAGGTGTTACGTACCTGTTGAATTCGCGCGGTAGTGCCTTGACTACTGCGAGGAATTGTGCACGTGTGTCGATCACGCCGTGCTCGGAGAAGTCGGCTTCTGCGTAGCAAAACCAGGCTTCGATGTTGTCGGGCCAGAAAGGCATCAGTTGAAACGAAGGCGGGGACAAAGTCTTAAGCTTGAGTACTTTAGGTGTCTGTTCAGTCATGATGAAGTATGAAGTACGATAATGAACAAGGGGAAAATATATATATCCAGGAAAAAAACACGAAAAAAAATCACAATGTTTAAAAAAGTTAAAAAAATAAGGCAATGATAAATAAAAATCCCAAAAAGGAACAGACTCACAGTTGCAATTAGGTGTACCAGATCACGTCGGTTTCACCAATGATTATGTCACAGGTATTCAGTGTTTGACAACGCTTCTACCAGTAACACCTTCTAATATATTTCGTTCCCGCCCAGAGAAATCAAAAGACAGAGTCGAGGAGATCGGAAGAGTATATTTGGCGATGACCAATATATCGGAATTCTCTGATCTAATCTGGCTAGCGATTGCGGTTGATGTTGAGCACGGCGTTACCACACGTGATCTGGTGCGGATGACTGACCGAGCGCCTTCAGCTAGGTGAGTCCACTAAAACATATGGTCAGCATCCAATGTCGAAAACTTAGTGCTATTTATTTTGGGGATTTATTTACCGCTACAACCCCATGCTAGAATAATTCTAATAAGAAAGCTGAAATCTATAAGCTTTTATACATTAAATCCTTACCGTAGCATACAAACACTTTCACAATACTACGTAAGGTTAAAAGAACATCTCTGAAACTCCCACAGCCTAACAAACTGCTGACCCATCAGTAAAACTTGCGTTTGAAAATGTTCCAAATTGCTGACTTGGTGAACGTCAATGGTTTTTCCGAAGTTCCGTTTGAGATATTAAACAGCCAGACCATTGAACTGCCAAAATATAATCCAGAGTTGAATATTTTCTATCGTAGTATGATGGTATGGTCTTTTATGCTTGATGGAAGTTGTGTTGCAACATGACGTACATGATCTGTCGTCGTTGGTATATCACCCGATAATCGTTCAGGCTGAGTAACACGAACGTAATATCAACAATATCTTTCTTCTACACCATACTGTGAGAACGATTTGTACGAAAATGAAAGGGATGGAACGATGAAACTGTTGTGGGTGGTTGACAAATGTCCAAGTTGTACGACATGCATTCCGTAAGTTCGTGTATGTTAAACTCGACTTATGTCGGTTGAATTGTTCACTATCTTCTAAATACTTCTATGGCTTAGAAGTGATAATACTTGGTGGATTATAAAGTAATTTATTTGTTTGATTCTATCACTTTTGGCCATACATTAAATACATAATGAATTGTCGTTATGCTTATTTGTCAACTCACCATTTGAACCATTTAGTGATTCTATTTAAGTATTTGATAAAATTATAGAATAATATCGAATCTGGCAACAGAAGTTACATAAAACTTTATGAACTGTAAGGTATACCTAATTTGACTTCGGTCAAAATTTAATCAATCATTAGTGATCTTTCAAGTATTTATTTAGTGTAGTTATTCCAATTCTTTTCCAATATTCTCGTAAAATATCGTACATATGCTTTCTATCGTTTTTGTATTCAGTGATATAACATTTCAACGTTTGCGAGTTTTCATTATTTGTTTGCATTTTTAGATTTAGCATGAAAGATAATAACCCTCAAGTTTTTTGAGTCTTAATAATGACTTCGTAGTAATGATGTTTTTGGCTGATTTGATATCCACGCGATCACCGACGTGCCTGTCGAGATATATATAAGTAACTTCAATACGTTTTGGAACACTCATAAGAAATATAAGTAAAGCGTACCATGAAGATAAGACATAATATTAATTAACTCACTGTATTTGTTCGATATTCTACTGATCAGGACCTTGAAAGGAATAACAAAAGGTCGATGGCTTCGGACTTTGGAATGAATTGCAAATAGGTATTTGTTACATAAAATGGTTCAAATGGTTGTGGACGGAATAGAAGAAGCTTTCGCTTAACAGGCTACCTTGTCTAGTAGCAAAGGACCACCAAATCCTCCAGGCAGGAACCTAGGTATGTTAACAATAAAAGAGGAAAAGAAATAGGCAAATCATAGTATGATGCTGTCCTTGGTCCTTAAGAATAGGTCAAGTTGCCTCTTGAAGGACTCCTGAGAAGTCGCTTGGACTAGCTCGGCCGGCAGCGAATTCCAGCTTTTGACAACTCTTAAGGAGTAGAAGTTATGTCTTTATTCGGTTTTGCTATGTTGTGTCTCCAGTTTCTGGGCATTACCCCTTAGGTTATTGTTCGAACTAAGCTTAAGTAGGTGTTTAAGAGGATGTCCAAAAGTGTTAAGAATACTATAAGCCATTGATAAATCACCTCTTAGACGCCTATACTCTAATGTGTAAAGGTCTAGTGAATGGAGGCATTCTTCGTAAGGTTTAAATTTGAGTCCTCGAACTGATTTCTTGGCTCGCCGTTGGATACGCTCCAAAGTGACCTTGTCCTTTTGGAGTGAGGGGGGAAATACTATGTTTCCGTACTCTAAATGGGGACGGATGAAACTATTGAAGATTGTATGGAAAGTTCGTCCGTCAAACTGTCCAAAAATGCGGCTCAACGTTACCAGTGCAAGGTTTGCTCGGAAGACATTTTTGTCACAGTTAGCGTAAGACTTTAAATCATGGGGCACCAGGACTCCTAAATCTTTTTCGACTTGGGATACTACTAGAGAGGAGTTTCCTAAGTTGTAACTGTAGTTTGCGACATATCGCAGATGGACTACTTTACACTTTGAAGTGTTAAAGGTAAGTCCGTTATCGTCTGCCCAACTTTGAAGTCGCGTCAGATCCTCCTGAAGTGCCTGTGTATCGTCTTGGTTGAGTGTCTCTCTCCAAAGTTTCACGTCGTCGGAATAATTCCTGTCAAAACGATCAGGAGAGAAGATCAATATCTCTGAAAGACAGAATAACGTAAAATTAAAATATATCATCTACCTGTACACTGGAGATGTATTTGTAGTTTCCACGTCTGAATGTTTGACTTCATTTAATTTAATTCATTAAAATTAACAACCTCCAAATCAAAATTAAGGTACCTACTAGGATACCTTAACATTATTTACGGCTAAAACCTTCAGGCTTTTATTGTGTTGTCTTCAGTTTTCAGTAAGCTACCAAATGTACATGAACAGCGAAAGTGCGGCTGTTCCTGGCCCTTTTATTTATTGTAAAATTTAACTATTTTAGTGCCTTAGCCATTTACAATTAACTTGCTTAGTGAGATATTCAAGCCAGAAAACCTCATCCACAGTGTGCATAGTCAAAGAAGGTACTACGATTAAGGTATTTTGGAGAATAACCGATTTTCACGTTTTCGTACGTGGTATTAATCATTTTTCTATAATGGATGAATGTTTCAGATTTGCTAGCTTACATGTATAAAAAACGTACAAATTTCTCTCCTTTACTCTCCCTTTAACGTGGGGCAAAAAATTTTAAATACCGGCTATATGTATGAATATTTTGTGAATTTACTTACGCATAAATCCGGACATGTTATACATATTTTTTATTTGCCTCAATCGTGAAGTATGATACAAAAAGATGGGTTTTAAGTATCCTGCAGTTTTTAGTATACAAAGTGTGCGACAGTTTGCAGGAAGCCTTTATGTCTGGTAAAATCGACAATCTCCTTTTTAGGTTCTATAACGCATACTGTACGAGAGATCAGGATACGGAAGCATTTGACCCAACGGAGGTCGATATTAAAACTTGTAATCTTAAAGTAGGTAATAAGAATCATTCTCCAGCTAAAATTATGTCGCCCGTTTTGTTTAATCAAAGTATAAATATCTTTGACTAGCAAATAGCAAATAGATTTGATTGCGATCGATCAATTTTAAGCAATAACATTTATTACAACAAGATAATGTGTCGTATAAAAGTTCTAATATCACCCGAAGTAATATGCTGAACAAGTTTAGAAGTAAATTCTGCCTGTAATGTGAACAACCAAAAGATATTATTGTCTGGCTATTTTTACTGTTTATATCAACATGATACACAAAAAAGTTTTCGACAGTTTGACAGATTAAATTCCCACAGTTTGTTGTTTTTCAAAATCTTGAAACCCTATAAATAAGACGAAGCGTTCATACCTTTTTATCATTAGTTGTTTATTCAAATGTAGCGTTACGGACGAAAGATACCTAGTATGATGTAATTTTTAATTTGCGAGACTTAAACTACAATTATAGATGCTTTAAAGTACCGATGAATGAAATCACTCAACCTCAACGTTGATCCCGATTGTACGCAAATATTTTTTTCGTTAAATGCAATTATATGTTCACCTATCAATAGAAACACAACGCTTTTATTATAAAAAAAAACTTTCCACCTTAAATCAATATTCTGCAAAGTATTCGTAGTTGTAGCTCAATTTATGCGGTATTTTTGGATGTCTCCAATACATATAAAATTCATTAACTAGTTGCCACATTTAGAATCTTTCTAAGCTATTGACAAGCTATTGAAAAATTTATATCACTTACCATTATGTATACGTAGTTTTATAGACAACTAAGTTACAGAAAAAAGTAACTTTTGATTAAATAGAACTTATTTATTTGATAAAGTCACCAAAATATTCTCAGCGTTATATGGAGATTTATTTGAAAAAAGAAATATTAACATGCAGCCTAACAGAAATACGCTAGGTCAAGACATGTTTAGTTACTACTATGCATCAAAATATTTTGGGATAGTATGAACAAAACTTGTGAAATAACGATAAGTACGATGAGCAAACATATCATAAATAAATGAATATTAAATTATTGTAGAATTAGGATGGCACCAGCAAGTGGCTAACAGTAAAATAGATTTTAATGTGTATAAACTCCTGGTTGTCAATCATGCTGGAAAATGAGCTTTTTAATTCCACAGAATCTGCTTTTCTGGAAGATGGGACTAAAAATTAATATTCCGTGCTTTAAAAATATCACTGTTCGTGCTCCTCGATCTTCATTCCCCTGGTGTAAAGACCAATATGGAGGAAAAAGAACCTCCGCCCATTCGGCAGACAATAATATTGACCGTGATTATCAAAACCATGTTGCAGATGAACTTATAGAATGTAAAAAAGAAAGCAGTCAACCTCTCGTAATCGATGGACATGACAACAAAAACGGCCCTCCTGAAAATATGAATTCAAGTTACTGTTGTGAAAATATGTAAGTGTTTTGTATGAAATCGGAATATATTTTCGTGTATCTTGCTTTTGGATAGATTACCAAAGCTAAGTTATTTTTTGTATTGATGGTTCACTAACAAGCTTTTGGTAACGGAAAGACTGACTCAAACAATGGCTCAGTTTACGGAAATATTCATAGGTCCCCAATAAATCATTTTGTCTGTTTCTACAGAGTTTGTTTCATTCAACCCGGATATTCCAAAAGTTATGTTAGTAACATTTAAACGACAGTGCAGCTGAAACCAGACACTACGTAATATTGCCAAATAAACGAAATAGTTAAGAAACTGAGGTAATTGTCAGCATATCCTGTGATTTTGCAGTCAATCTGTAAGTTTCACATCATTCACGGATACACGTTTCAAATAAAGTGAACGCGTGAAAAAACCCATTGATGGTCGTCAGAAACGCTGTAAATGGCCGCACGTTTTCTCATTTTGAACAAACCTCTGCCAATCATATTCAAGATGTGGATAGTAACTTACATAATAATTCACTATAGTTGATTCTGAACTGTCCATTTTTATTCCGATGCTCGATGAACCATAAATTGCAATAAGTCCTAAGCTCAAAATATAAGTTAAGTATTTTTTCAACAGGTTTTAAAAAATTTGTGCAATAATGGCATATTTTTTGAGCGCTTAGTTGTGTTTTTTATGTAGGCCTTTAAAACCGAGCACTTACAAAACCAATGACCTCAAAAGTTTTGGTAAAATTCTACCAAAATATACTTTCAAAATCAATTCAGTGATGATAACAGTGGAACACTTTTATGAAGTTCATAAATACATAAAGATTTCTTAGAATATCAGTTATTAAATCCTAACATATTTTGATCACTCGTAATAAATTATTCAATTTTGTTGGGTATTCTCTTATATAATAGAATATAAAACGTTTTATTTCTCAGTACAAAGATACGTTCACTTGTGCAACCTATCACAAACTGGATGATTACTTACTTACTTATGCCTGTTACTCCTAATGCAGCGTAGACCACCGACCAGCATTCTCCAACCCACTCTGTCCTGGGCCTTTTTTTCCAGTTCCATCCAATTCTTGTTCATTTTTCTCATGTCTATTTCCATTTCCCGGCGTAATGTGTTCATTGGCCTTCCTCTCTACCTTTGGCCTTGAGGATTCTCGGTATTGAGAGAAGAGAGTGATGCCCCTGTATTTATCACAGTTGCCGAGATCGCCTTTCTTTGGTATTTTGACCAGAAGTCCTTCTTTCCAGTCTGTTGGCACTTGTTCCTCAACCCAAATCTTATTGAAGAGAATGTGGAGTATCCTTGCAGTTGCCGCTACGTCTACTTTTATTGCCTCTGCTGGAATGTTGTCTGGTCCCGCTGCTTTGCCACTCTTGATTTGTCTGATGGCCATGCTGATTTCTTCAATTGTTGGTGACCAACATCGATTGGGAGGTCCGTGGATGCTGCTTCGATGTTGGGTGGGTTCAATGGAGCTGGTCGATTCAAGGGTTCTTTGAAGTGTTCTACCCACCTGTTTTGTTGCTCTTCAATATTGGTGATTACCTTACCTTCCTTGCTTTTCACTGGTCGTTCTGGTTTGCGGCGATTTCCAGAGACTTTCTTTGTCGTGTCATACAATTGTCTCATGTTTCCTTCTCTTGCAGCCTTTTCCGCCGTCGTTGCTAAATCCTCCACAAATTTTCGTTTGTCAGTTCTGATGCTCCTCTTCACTTGCTCGTTTACTTCTGTGTATTCAGCTTGTGCCTTGGCTTTTTCTGCTCTTGTTCGGCTGGTATTGATTGCTGCCTTCTTGTTCCTCCTTTCTTGAATCTTATCCATTGTACCAACAGTGATCCATACCATGTGATTGTCCTTCTTGTGACCCAGAACCTCATGACATGTTGAAGTGATTGCCTCTTTGATCCCCTTCCAGTTGCTCTCTTTAGTAGTTCGTTCTCCATTGAGTAGATCATGAAAGGCCTGGAACTTGTTGCTGAGGACTATCTTGAATTTGTTGAGTTTGTTAGTATCCTGAAGAAAGGCCGTATTGAACTTTTGTGATATTGTCCGCCCCGTTGTCCAGTACTTCTTGAGTTTCAATTTCACCTTGGCGACAAGCAAGTGATGGTCTGATACTATATCAGCTCCTCTCTTGGTTCTCACATCCTCCATCGTCCTCCTGACCGTTTTGTTGATGCAGATGTGGTCGATTTGGTTCTGCGTAGTGTGATCCGGTGAAGTCCATGTGGCTTTGTGAATGCGCTTATGTGGGAATATGGTGCCGCCCATGACCAGCTTATTGAAGGCACATAGGTTTGCAAATCTCTCACCATTTTCGTTCCTTTCTCCCAGTCCGTGTCGTCCCATGATGTCTTCATATCCAGTGTTATCCGTTCCAACCTTGGCACTGAAATCTCCCATCAGAATGGTCAGGTCCTTTGTTGGGCGCTTCTTGACGATTGACTACAGCCTATTGTAGAATTGATCTTTATCGTCTTCATTGTAGTCGTTGGTAGGCTCATAGCATTGGTGATGTTAATTGAAATGCCCTCTTTCTTTGTTTTGAAAGGGGCTTTGATGATTCTTGATCCATGAGATTCCCATCCTATAAGTGCATTTTGTGCTTCTTTGGACAGCATCAATGCAACTCCTTGTGTATGTGGCGCATTTTCTTCTTCATGGCCGGAGTATAACAGAAGCTCTCCTGAAGTTACTCGTTGTTGTCCAACTTGCGTCCAATGTGTTTCACTGATCCCAAGCACCTCTATGTTGTATCTCCTCATCTCTGCAGCAATTTGGAAGGCTCTCTCGGTGTCCCACATTGTACGAGCATTCCATGTACCTAAATAGATGGTTGCTATGGTTGTCTGACAACTGTGAACGATTAGGTTTACAAATTTTATTTAGAAAGCTCTGGGGAGAGAAGAGGGAAGAGAAAATTTTATTTCACATAATTTCATGTAGTCTAATAGTTGAAATATTGAAAGTAATACGTATGGTTACGTACATTATTACAAGTTAGACAAAATAAACAAGCTTATTGAAATGATTCACGACTGATATTTGGTTTTCGTTTGGAAAAAGTTGATTGCCCTACAATGTTCATCGCTTTGGTCAATTATATTGCCTTCAAAAGTCAGATAACTACTGTTCGCTAATCAATTTCGTTGAATGACCACTGCCTATTGAGTCAGTTGAGTCTAGATTAAGGATAAATTTCTCCACAAAACAATGGAATCTAGTTAGGGAAATATATGAAGCAAAGCAAGTCAGACAAAAGTATTGTTGATCTGAAGGTTTATTGGTTTAATTACAAACTGTACAGGTTTGAAAATTTTAAACACCTTTCTGGTTAGTCCGATCCTGAATTAAAGACTTTATTTATCTATTCAAATAACTATTGACGAAAAATCACCTTACTGAAAAGTAAAGGCACTAGAAGCACTGATGGGTTAAACCACCTTCACCCTTAACCATTTGTAAAACAATTGTTGGAATCCTTAATAGATTTTTGCGATGCTCGTAGGATCTGTGGCATATAAATTGTTATTGGTTGGTCAAACCATCATCTGTACTGACCTATTATCCGTATTGATTACCTAACGTATAAAAGTGTCATGCACATATTTTCTCGAAGTCCTGAACCGTTCAATTAATCGTCATCGAGATACAATATCAAAAAGATGAATATTCTGTAGCGATGATATGCCTTAAGATGGAAATATGTTTTATTTTTCTCCCATACAGAACCCAGTTCATATATGTTCAAGAGTGAACTTAGAAACAGAACATAGTACCAATATAATTAGTATCGCAAGATGATAATTATTTTTCAATAAAATATTTTCGAGATGCAGTGATCTCTATAAAGTTGAATTAACTCCAAAATCCATATTGAAAATGTAATTACCAGAATAATTGACATTAACAGTCCATATGTTGAATTTAAAACAGTAGCTATTTCAGTAACACTCCAAATGACTTATGATAGGCTTCAAAAGTTTTTCAATTAATTAAAATGAGGGATGTAGGATTGAACATGAAATATTAGAAAGAGAGAAAGGTACTATTCCAAATAATTCCTGAATTTCATTTACAATACATAAATAATTCTACTTGGCTTTAAAATGGTATGGTTTTAAAAAAAGAAGCCCTTTGTAAAGCTCTATATTTCATTCTTCTATCAAATTGAAAATTTCGAACAAATCATAACAACAATTTAGTAGATCAGTCTTCTAATGTTATGCTTTGAAAAGTACAAATACAATAATAGCTGTGACTTTTTAAGTCTTCAAAAACACTAAAACTTACGAAATCTCAAAATTATAAAATGTTCTTTGTAATTCACGGAAACGATTCGCAATGAAATAACGACAAGTAATTTTTTCGACATCACTGTGATGTTACATCCCAGAGTTAGACGTTAAACCCTTTCTCCACCTTTTATCTGATATCAAACGCACCCCAAACAGGGTTATAGCTGTTCTGGGAGCCTAATTAAATACTACAACAACGGTGATACGTATTTGTTTGCTGATCTTACAAACTCGCTTAACACCTAAGTAGTGCATTCTCAACGGTTTTCCGTCAAAACTTATATTTACTTCCGATTGTGTTGTATTTTTGATAATCCTACAAGAACAGTATTCCTGTGCTATACTATATGAATCATGGCTCCGAAACTGATGTAAAATTTTATCATAAGCAGATATTATTATTTTAGTAACTAGCCATTCATTTCTCCCTATTACTGAGAATTAAAAAAGTATACCCGTTTTCATTTATGATTGTAGAGCATAAAATCATAATAACTGAACAATCAGTAATTCCTTAAAATTTATATTATCCAATCATCTGTTGATACTGGCTTTCAAAAATATTTGCCCTTCTAGTGCAAAATCGAACTTTTCTTCAACTTTATTAAGCAGTGAATAATTCTCAATTAGCTATACATTAATTAATTGACCTAAATAGTCAAATCAGTGATGGATTTCATGATATAATATAAAACTATTTCTTAAAATTATTCAAATTTAAAACAGAATCGTAACATACTGTGGAATTTTTGTCTTACTGCAAGGAATAATGATAAATAGTCAGGTAGCTAAAATAAATCTAGATTTACTGTTTTTTTCCATCTGATGACCGATTATGTTCAAATTTAAAATATCAAGTTATTGGGTTATATAGAACTCTACAGGTATATGGAGTGTTATCATAGCCTGGAAGAGGAATTACATCAGAGATTCATAGGGTTCTCTTGTTTTATGGTTTATTCGTTACGCTAACTGATTTTTATCTTCTCTCAAAACATTCGTCGGTTTTCTCATCGACTAATTGTACTAATTAAGAGACTTTTCCACATTTCAGTCCTTTTTCAACTATATAACACAGTTATCTACATCTACTTGATCGCTTTTAGTAATGAATAGCTGGTGCGTTGACTAACCGATATACATTTTCGTGACGAACCTTTCTAGTCAACCGCCTTTTGAAAGTAATTATAAAAAGGTTTAAAACTAATCACAATATTCACAAAAAGTTATCTATTATTTAGAAATGATAAACTTAACTTTTCGTTCATATTTCATACCATACCACAGTCTTAGAATTTATAAAGCACAGTTAGCTCCATGATTTTCATAACGCTTTTGGGTCTTTTATATAAAGTCTGTGAATCAAAATAATGTAAACTTTTACATGATACTAACCAGAATTCCTGCCCCGGAGGCAAAAGTACACTGGGGAAAAAATAAAGTCAACTATTGTAAGTATCAATGCTAAAGTTGAACTTGATAGATTAAAATAGATTGAGGATTGAGTAGAAAGTTAATAATAAATATATATTTTGTTATTTTCCGTTGAGAATAAAATTATATTTCTGACGTTTTGTGACGTAACATAAGTTCATTCTTCATTGTTAATAAATAACCGACATAAAATTAACACGAGTTTAAATAGTATTCTGAAGAATGGACTTACTTTAGGTCACGAAACGTCGGAAATACAACTTTCTACTCCTTGGGATATCACGAAAAAAAATTCATGTATATTTATTATTAAAGTCAACTAATGATCAAGGAAATTTACAAACGTTAATTATATTTGTAATCTGAAGTAAAATTACAGTTTCAGCCAATTAGATTGGATTCAAACCATCAGTATAACGTTTAAGCTATCAAATAGTCAGTTAAGTGTACAGTTTAATGAGAGTTATTGTAGTAGTACTATTGATATCAAAGCAGTGATAAGTAGTATAATAATTTACTGGGGATTGTTCAATTTTTAGGTCATTTTTGTTTTATCAAAACTAATGGCAAGTTTTACAACTAATGTGAATATGGTTGAAAATACTAATCGCCTTAACCGTCCTAAGCCTTATTAGAGAATAAAGTTTGTACTTAGATTGGTACGCTCCTGAAACAGACTGGAAAAAGACCATGTTCTGCCACATTCCTTATTTAAAAAGTACTTTTTAACCTTTTTTTATTTTCCCAGATATCCGACAATGAATGATGAAACAGGTAATTATTGCTGCCTTTTCATTGATTTATTATATTTAAATAACAGTTTTATTAAACTCGGTTTCTGATAGTGACTCATCACGTTGTACATGAATACAATATAATTTACAAGGATCTGTTTAATTAAATTGTTAAAATTTATTTGTAGTTGTACCACAAACAATAAAGTTATCAAAAATAGGTTAAATGAAAGACAATTTGTAAGATTACAAGGCATTTATACATCCACACCCAAAGTTAGGAAGAATAATGTGAGAAACAGTATCAGAACTGGTACTCACAGTATAACTGGTTGACATTACTAAATCTGGATGCTTTCATAAAATGCACTAAACAGAGATCTTAGGTAGAAAATCGGGAGGACATACTGATCATACTCCTGAATTTTCACATTATTATTTACTGGAAATCGAAAGTCCACTCTAAAGAAATTTGAATATATGAAAACATTGGGAAATTCTAAATCACTGAATAATTCACTTTCAAAAAATGAATAACCTGTTGTTGCAGATGGTTGGAAATACAATTTCTGACCAAAAACATAATTCTTTAAATAAAAATTGTTATGATGTTATGAAATAATGATCTACAGTGTTATTAAGAAGTGCCTAGAGAAATGAAGGAAGTATAGTTTCAGAGACATAAAGCTTTAGATTTATGCCTACGTGTTAATCTCTTTCTACTGAACGTCTCTGTATTCATTTAAAGTAAATAATACAATACTTAATCCTTTTCGCAAGTTTTATAAATCACTATTTTGACCTATTAAGTGTCAAATAATAAACAGTTATTGTATCAGCTTTACTTTGTCTTCTATGCAAGTAGCATTAAAGTCTAATGATGTTTTAAAATAGATAATTAAAAAGATTTTAGCTTATTAACACATGATATGTGAGTGTGTAGTATCTTTAAGTTTACGATATACTATATGTACTTATTAAATTGTTTCGAAAAGTGATAAATCTCGCTGATGAACGTGATCCGAGACAAATTTTGCATGATATTGCAACAGGTTTTAGCGTGAATTTGTCTTGGTATTAGACTTTTACCTGCTTCAAAAAAAATAATGGGTTTTGTAAAACGTATCCTAATCTTTAACACTGACTTAAACTCCTCATTTCTTGAAGAAACGTTGTAAAATCAGAAGTGTAGACTTGATGCAAAAGTAATAATATCGCTATTTCTAACGATTATTAATATTAAAACTTCATCTTTGAACAGTGATGGCGTCATTGTTGGTATTTATCTTAATATGGTTATTTGACTACATAACTAAATGTTTCATATCTAAAGTACAACGAAATAATATGTAATTTGAAAGACATTAGCAGTTGCATTGTAAACTTTGCAATACAAACTGAAACTAGAGAGAAGCTTCATCCTAGTAGGAGATTCCTCAGCAGTGTACATTCACGGCCTCTGAAACCTAAACTTGAATCTAGTAACTTCGGTCATGCTCAAGAACGTTTAACTCCTAGACCACTGAGGTGGAATCCATAGGCGTACATGTCTAACTTCAATCAATACTACCTCAGTGGTCTAATGATTAAGCTTTTGAGTGTGAGATAGAAGTTTCTGGATTCAACCTTTGGTAGAGTCCTGGATAACCACTTGTAAACCAGTGCTTTCACATGTGTATATATTACTTTCCTCATCAGGGCATCCTTTGTTGTTATCTGACAGATAATTATTGATTTGAGAACTGAGTTAAAGTTCAGTTAGGACTGGAAAGTCATTTATCTGGGCCAAAATAGAGAAACAAACTATTTGGATTATAGTAAAATAACACCTTAATAAAAATACTAAATAAACTTACTTATTAGATACTTCTCAAGCTCAAAGTATAGCCATCCATGGGTTGCATGACCTGATTTATCTGTCCTAAGCCTTCGTTTTTACATAATGACATCTCTTATCATATGTGCTCCGCAGCAAGGAATCACTTGGGATAACTGTCTGCTTGCATCATTTTGTTATTTGTTGATTAAGTGAGACCATTAAATCTATTTCCTCTGATGAACAATGTTCATCTATACTGAGCTCTAATGCAGTGAGAAATGATTTTTTCTGTCAAAAGTAAGCTGTATATTATTAGCAGTTATATGAACCGATGTTCAAAATCTACATGTTATAATGTTTAAAATAAAAACTATTATTCAGTAGTAGTTTCCCACTTATCTATAGAAATTTATCAAACCTAAACTATAGGATAAATAATTTTAAATAAAGTCGTGAAATTTACATTGAGACCATTGTTCAGTGTGAATTCGAAAAATACCAAGTTTATTACATATTACTCTAGCAATGTTTTAAAAATTGTCTACATTGATAATAAATAACAAGATGTTAATTAGTAATATAATGAAACGACTAATTTCTATAATTGATGAATAAGATGTAATTATTTTATCTGACGTGTGATCCTTACCATTACGTTTATGACTTGTATGTAACCTCTACTCATACCCAACATAAAATGACCTTCTGTATTACAATTGTGACTAAATACTTCACAATAATCAATTTTTTAAACTGAACATAAAAAGGACCTATGTGTAAAACGTATCTAAAAATGAAGAATATGTCAGGTGAAGATTAAAATTAAAAAACTTTACATTGGTAAACTTCTTAATGTTTTATCAAAAGAATATAAAAATGACTTATTTAACCGTTTTAATTACACATCATGAACCTTTGTTCATCTTAGAGTTAGAAAGTATGACTAGAACTAAATTTTTATCAGATCACTGATTAACTCTAATCGATATCTTTGGTACAACTAATGAAGTTATTTTAGGACAGTAATGATGATTTATAGCTCATGTGGATGATTTTGGTGAAGTCTCGTTCTCTAAGATGGATGGTTCAGTTATGAACCTTTATTGTTCTTCCGAAAAAAATATCAACACAAATTCCAGGTGGAAGTTAAGTACTCCACTGGCAGCTTATTTTATCAACCTTTATCTTAACTGATTATTGTCAATCAATGACCTGTCGTTATATTTATGGTTATTTTGATAGTCTACCTCTCCGACTTAATTCTTGTTCCTCTTCATTTGCTTCTGCATGAACACCAGATAGCTGTTAAATGCTGCGATGTATCTTTGTTAGTAGCGATTTATGTAGACATTTAGGGACACACGTTCAACAGAGTAATTGTTGGAGTTTCAGATATAAAGAACGCAAAGAAAAAATAGAGGATCTTTAGGAGCCTGATAATCAGGTCGTTCAGTAGTCAATAAACAAGTCGAAATCAACCCGATTTACCAATCACTTGAAAATTCGTGGACAAATATGGGATCAAGAATATGGTCGAAGAGGTAGACTGTAAAAATAAACACACATATAACAACAGGTCGTAAGCCGACAATAATCAGTTAAGATCAAGGTCAACAAAACGAGCTGTTAGTGGAGTACCTAACTTTCAACTGAGCTTTGTTCCAATGCCTTTGTTCGGAAGAATAGTGAAACCTTCAGGATTAAATCATTCGGCTCAAAGAATATAAATCTACCAAAAAGGTTATTTTTACTTAGAAACTACTGTGGCCGTATTCTAACGTCCAATAGCTGAATTTTTAATCTAGTGGTATTTCTCAAATATAAATTTTAACTATAATCTCGAAAGTATGTCTGACCTAAAAACAAATGTGGTAAATTATATACTTTGTCACTAACAGCTAATCTGAGAAAACAATTCTGTTTTTCACTGTAATTAAACTGTTAATACCATCTAAAACAGAATAAACTTTTAGAGAAGTACATTTTTTTAGAAAAGTGATTTGCGAAAGCAGCAGAGATTTTGCATTAGAAAATTCCGATTTTCAGTCTACCATACTCTCATGTTTATTTATGGCCGAAAATAAATTATCAAATGAAATGGATGGAATGGAATAAACCTTTATTAGTAAAAATGGTTATAACACGATATTAGTAGTAGTTACCAGCTCTAATCATTACTTTACAGCTATATCTGGAATATAATTTGAATGTCTTAATGCTACAAAATTGATAAGACACCTAACATAAAATAACTGGGAGGACTTTACATATTAAAACAAAGTGCACAGAACTGTTATTTTTGTTTTATTGAATATATCAAAACTTCAAAGATTTCATATTTTGTAATTTTATTGATCAATATTATTTTTAATCGTATTTCCATGCGTGATAGTCACTTATAATAATTTCCCAAAACGATAAACCTTCTTGAGAAATTGTTATTGATAATGATTATATTAAATTGGGGCTATTGGTATGTTTTAAAATTAACATTATTTAGCTGCAAGGAAATAATTTTACCCTACTAATTACAACGTATCATGGGTTTTACAGATCAGTCAAAACCCGGAAAAACTGCTGATTTAATAGCGCTTTTCGAAATGTTGGGAAGTCAGTATGGCAAGCTATATCTAGAAAATCATGACCTTTTGAAACACCATCACCAAAGCAAACAAGTAGAAGCTCAGTAAGTTTAAAAGTACTCTTTTTATATGTATCCAATTTAATTATTATATCCGTTAACTCAAAATGATACGCTTACATAAAAATTTTGGCACATATTGTTCGGTTCCCTAATTTGAAGTATAAAATGTCACAGCGTGGTTTTATATTTGTCGCATCAGTGAAGCAAAAAAATTGTCATCAAAAAATTCGACTTTAACTTTGGAACGTTTTGGTAATGTCCTCTATTTAGTCAGGTATTAATGGAATTCACAACAAAAATAATAAAAGTAAGGTGGCAAGCAAGCATTTCAAATCCTAATAAAATATTATTTCCCATGAATTCATAGCCAATCATCAAGGTGAATTTCAAAAATCCCTATTGTTATTTCGATTTCCACCATTTGAGTTCTTTTGTTATTTGAGATCTAAATTTCGTCCGATAGTCGTTATCCCAATCCAATAAGCATTGTTTTGATTTTAATTTATATCATGAACTGACCGATGTTGAACCACCACTAAAAACTTGGGAGCATTGTACGACCGTTTTGTCATAGTATGGGACTCCTCGGTAGTTAAAGATATACTTTGGTAACGAATTTCAACTAGCGTGGATCTTAAATCGGTTAAATGCAATACTATGCACTCTCTGCGTCTATTTGCTGTCTGTTTATCTAACTTGTTATTTAAAAGTAACATATATTTGAACTTTAGGCAGGAGCGAAACCATGTTTCAGTGGGATTAACTTTGACTGGATGAATTTTTTAATCGTCAAGTGTATTTCCAAAACTACAAGTATTGGGTAGTGAATGTGTAACATTTTCAATTCACTAGACCATTCACATAGGTGTCAGTAGCATGAATTTGCAATACCTAATTATTTAAATACTTATGAGTCAAGAAGTATTCGGATTATTCCAGCATCTACTTTTTGAATATCTCAGTGCTGCCTAACATTTTATCTTGCTTCTTAAAGACTAAACAGGCTTTATCGACAATGCCATGTCTCTAAGTTTGTGATCTTACAACAACAGCAATTTATGCTGCTCTTAAGATAACAAAACTGTCTTTCTTCGTTCATGAGGATATGAGTCACTATCACTGTCTGTTAGTTTTCACATCTTTATTAATATGTTTTCTGAGAATGTATGTAGTTTGATATGATTTCAGCTGAGAAGCCTAATGGGATGAGGAAGTGTGAACATTCATTAAGAACAGCTTGCAATATTGTTTCTAAAAGACGTTTGTAGGTCTGTAACACACTTATGAAGCTGAGTTGCTCATGTCAATCGACATATGATAGAGATAAACAGATTGACTACAAGTATGTATTTTGGAGACAGTATAAAATCAAACTAAAAGTCGAAAATTGTTAAAAGCGTTGTCAAAATCAATAAAACTAAATAGCGAAGATATATTATAGTAAACTATTGGGAAATTGTCTGTTATAATTGAGTAGAATCAACACGTAATAAGCATGCTTTCTATGGTATAATGACACCAAACACGAAATTAATTTTCCATAAGTAATTATCACTTCCCTTTCTAAAGTGTTAATTGAGTCTCAATATTTGTGCAATTTTGGTACTGTGTAATATAAATGAGTCGTGATTAACTTCATCTTAAATAAAGACATTACGATTTGGTTAAATATAGCACTCGCTTAAAAATCACCTAGTTGGCACTTGTTAACAATGCATACCTACAATCGTGAAGGAACTGATGATTCTTGCAGGATTCGAACCAGCACCATCTAGCTTCACAATACATTATTGTTAAAATCTTCGGGCCATTATTGATACCTTGTAGACTTAGATATCTTAATTGATTGATCACTGACTAGTGATAAATATCACTTTATTCTAGTCTAACTGACAAGTGCCAATTAGCAGTTAACCTATGTACAAAGTTTCCTACCGACTCCTGTCAAGCACCTTAAATCGAAATCTAATGATTTTTGACAAGATAATAATCAAAATAAAACGTTTTAAATAGCATATGGTTGTATTTTGTTACGGTTCATAATCTGTATATTAAGTAGTGATATGGCTATGTAAATAAGCACGATCAATAACAGTTGTGTGTTCACAAATGCACACTTCTCAACTAACAAGACACTATGCACATGGATGTAAAGTATGTGTACATAAATGCTTATTAGTGTGTGTTTATTACTTAGAAAACGTCGGTAAGCTTTAGAGGTTGATCAATAAATTCATTTATGCATTTTGACTTTAGTACACAATTTTGAAGCACACTCTTACCAACAGAATAATCAATTTCGAGCAGCTGACTGACTAACAACTGATTATTTTATCTATTCTGTGAACATTTCTATGGAGTAATTAGTTGTACATTTTAAAATGTTTAATTATGATATAAAATCAAATAATTATGTGTAGAATGTTTTGATTTTTAATGGGTTTTCTTTAAATGTAACCTTACCTATGGTTCACTAGAGAAGATAGGTTATGCTTTTCAGTCGCTTTTTGCTTTTAGGAATCAAGATGTGTATTAAACGAGATAGGAAAATACTGTTTATTAGAAAGGGTACAGATGTTACATTCATGATAACCCATACATCCATGAAAATCAACAATTTCCAAAGGTATTTTAGAGAGTTGTTTGTATGATAACTCATGTATATAAATCTATTAATGATTGATTATTGATCTGCTTAATGATTTCATGATCTAGAAGCAAAGTGCCAATAATTGCATACAAACAAATACTTTAAAGCTATTATATATATATATATATATATATATATATATATATATATATATAAGTCAATCTTACTTATGACATGTGATACGTATAGAAATGATTTCATTTATCTATTTAGTGAATTTTTAGAAATAAAGACATTCAAAAATTACTAGTTACACATAGCATGTATGTATGATGATATATTATTGGTCAATTTACGTCATTTTTAAAAATAAGACTCACGGTAGCAATAATAACAGCATTAGAAAATATAGTAGAGAGATTACATTTTATACCAGTAAAGTTCAAACAAATCACTCATATGCCAGTAGGATTTTTTAAAGTACTAATGAGAATTTACATTAACTCAAAGAGCTTCATAAAAATAACCAACTTCCTTTGTTAATGTTCTTTATTATGTATGAAAAATCAGAGAAATCACATAATGCACCATTTTTCCAGGTGTCACCTATATCCTCTCAATCATTATCTTCACCATTGTCATCGAAGAAGTCCAATCAAACAATAGTGAGTGCGAAAAAATTACACAATCCATTGGATAATGAAATCTTCCTAATACAACCACCGAACACTACTCTTTGTATTGGTGACAATAATCATAATAAAAATGAGGATTTTCAACACACTGTATGTCAAACAGTAAACAAGAAAAATGATAAGAGAAGCACTAAAGAGAAAAATAATGGTCAAAAATCGTCTTTATGTAGTCGACTTTTTCCTTGTTGCGTTAGTAAACAGTCTAAACCAGCAAAAAATTCTTCTTTTTTTACTAGACCAAATAATAACGACGATGATTGTGACAATAATGATAATCATAAAGATACTGGGAATAAACAAAAACTAATCACTGAGTCACCGTCTACAGAAGTTGATTATTTAGATAATTCAGATGAAGCTACTTTAAGATTAAAGGTAAGCATTGTATTTTCCGAAAACATTTTTAATGATCTAAGGTACGATTTAATTATATTTAAAGAAAACAAACAGATTCTACCTCTTTGTAGACACAAACTATGTGATATATGGGTGTAAAATAGTAAAATCTAATATGAAATTGACCAGGTAATAAAATATATCATTCTAATGAAAGAGAAAAGTTAGCAATTTTCGACCATTATAACAGCAATTAAAAGGTATACAGACATCGATATCACTAAGCACTATCATATGTGTAGGTAGTTTTACTGCCAGTCTCCGACGAATAGAATCCACATGGGGTATAACACTAACATCGTTTTCAAACTTCCTGAAACATCGGTAATAGGAACTGAATTTGAAAGTTTTTCCGTTTCTACGATATCTGGCGAGGCTAAAAACCACAAATTTCGACCAATATTCAATCTTCGATTTTGTTCAAAATTAAATACAATTGTTCCTTGAAAACAGATAAAATGTAATGTTGGACGGACTTGAAATTCTAGAGGCTTTCACCATTTAATCAATTATGAAATTCATATCCAGCTAAAAGAAACAGTTCTAAACTTCGAGGAAACTGCATTATCATCTGTTCCAAGTCTGATGCTATAATTATTCATGACAGTGATACTGTACATTGAGATTTATTTTAAGAATAACAATAGAAATAAATGGTAAAAACATTCCAATTTCCTGTGGGAAAATCAAAGAAAAGTATCTAAACCTGACTGACCAATAGTTTATGATTAACAGATTCATTTTTAATGCTGCCATAAATCTAGGTAGGTTTCCATGAGTACGTATATGTTTGAATACATATTATTTGTATTTGCTACTACCCTTTCTATGGTAAAATTTATAATATGATTTGTGTTCTTTTTTTGGAATTCTGACGTTTTCAAACGGTTTTCACTGACCAGTTGTTTGATAAGTCATTCAGAAGCACATAAGCAGACTGGTACAATGTCACATCTACTGAATGTCACGAATGTAAAAGCATTTGGCGCATTAAGCGACCAGTATAATCACATTTAGAACAGTCATGTGACCTAACACATATTTTTTCTATCATATTTCCCACGTGTTGTCTGACCTTAATAATTATGAATCATCCAGAATAAATATTTGTTTATTAGCGCATAGAATAATCGATATTATTACTTAGCTTTTTTGATTTAGTAGTAAACTGTACTATAGTAAACAATTTTACAAACAATAATTAGTATACGTTTTATTCAAAGATTGTCCATACTTGGAAAAGTGAATCCAATAGTGTTCACTTATCGTATCTTTATTATGTCATAAGTTTGCAGTATAAGAATTTGTAGTCGAGAGACATTTTAAATGTATCGAAATAAATGTACTTATGGGGTTGTCAGTGACTTGTTCTATTCCCTGTATACCTTATTATAAACCTGGAATAATTTTGTGTAACTGCTTTTTCTCGTTCTTGAAACTTTATGACTACCTTTCCATAGTTTCTAATAACAAGAATTAAAACATAGATGCGAGCTCCGACCGCCTAAAATATGATGGACTCAGTCTTTTAAAAGTCGTTTATTTGTGATTTGTACAATCACAAAATTTCCCCCAAAATATTGGTCATTAAAAACCATGAGCAATAAATAATTTGATGAGCCAACAAAAGCGATCATCCTTCAACTTAGTAACGGTGTTACGAAAACGGGATTTTAAAGTTCTCATATGTTTAAGTCCTTAATAAACCTACATAGATATTTAACTTGTTTTCCTTCACGAAAATAAAATTATGGATTATATTCGCTTTGATTTAGATTAACCGAAAAGTTCCAACTCTATGTTATTTCTATCCATCTTTAATGATATTGTAACTTAATCTTATACTGTTAGTAATTGCCCAAAACTTATGCTGACTCGTGTCATTTGTTTGACGCCACTTTGTGGTAATAATTTACATTATGGTGGAATGATAAACAAATTTACAAACCAGTCTTTGTATCACAAGTATAAAATCGATTTTCATACAGACTGAAAGGATATAAAATCAGTAACTTTTATTATAATGCACTAACCGAAGATTACGTGATGACCATTTTTATATTGTGTGATTAGTAACAGATGATTTGGTACCAATTCTCTAGAATAGAAGAAGTATAGGAATTGATTCCTCCAAAAAAATTCAAAAATAAGCATTTTGAGCCCAATATTTGGCTATTGTAGTGATTTAGATTGATTACATTCTAAAAATATTGTGTTTGATTAGTTAGATATATTCTGAAGGTACTACTGAATTAATTTATCATACAGCATGAAAACACACTAGACAAAACCTTCTCATTTTAATTTTTCTATGGTAAGATCATGAACAATTAAGATCTATATTTCACTAACACGTTTTCATCATCAACAACCATCTGGTACCTTATTCCAGTATGGCTGTAACTTGTATAACATCACATCGCTTATGCTTAGAATGGATTTATTTAGATATTAGCTCTCTTTCTCTATGATGAGGTGACTGTTTATATTTTTTGTAAGTTTTTGTTACAACACCTAAAATGTATGATTAATATCTAACATGTGAAAATAGCCACGATCTGTTTAAAATGCCAACAATCATTTATGAAACTATTCATTTTGAATCAGAACTAAGCCTTCCATTAAGGTAAACAAATACCCAAGTATGTAATTTCGAAAACATTTCTAATAAAAAACCATATTCTACAGTACACTGAATCTAAGTAAATTTTTTCTCAATATACTCAAAGTAAATGTTTTTACATTTAAGACCTATTGAATTTTCGCATTCTGCTTCTGCAGATAAATTTGTCATGATCCCATCAATATTAATCATGGCAGATGCGCTCTTTGCATAACAAAATTTAACAGTTACTTACTTTTAACTCCTCAGTAATCATACAAATTCATCTAGTGTACAAACATCATAACTTTACATGTTTGTTTCTAGAATTTTATTTTATTTTATCCATGATCCTTCTTCATTTTATTATCATGTTTATCAATATTTTTAATGAATTACACTTATGTTTTGAAATCCTAGTTTTATTTTTAACTCCCTTCCTCTACTTTATTGAATACCTTCTCCTCATACTTATCAGTTGATTCTTAATGACGGTCAATCGATTTATTATAACGTCCAGAAGTTAATTTAAATTTCGTATGTGAATAATACGTAGATGCCTTAATTTTATCACTTTTAGGATTCCTTTAGGACCTATGAAGAACGTCAGAAATATAAATCTATCATTCAGGATGCTCCATTGTATCAAATATATACAGAGAAGGCTTCAATCAGTGAATCAAGACGTGATGCACGAAGACTTTTAGGTTAGTTAACTTCAAGTGTAATTCTTATTTTCATTTATTGTTTTACATATTTTTCAGATGAATAAGGTTTTACTTTTATATCAGTAACTCATGATTTATATCTTGAATATTACCGTTAGCTGATCGAGTTTGTTACGTTCACAATATCCAGTATCTAATCTATTAGGAGGCAGTATTAAACTGTGAATCACATTGGATTAGACTTTGAATTAAAATAAAGGATGTATTTCATTGATTTTTTCCATAAAACATATAGTGGATATTAAATATATTTCAATTATATTATTATTGAAAACAATCGTAATTTTTAATATCTCTAGCTGACCATACTGCATATTCCATCCTTGTTATCGTATATTGATAATTATTTCAAACAAACATTATGCGATAAACTGAAGGAAGATACTTTTTTTATATACTATTTCAATTTTCAAGAAAACAATTTTACAGTATCGTAGTTTAGGTAAGAAGATTATTACATGCCAACAATTGTAAACAATTAAATTACTTGGAGAACAGTTCAATAGATCATACGCCTTTTGTCAGCTTCTATAGCCAACCAATTTCTTCAAAGATTATACTTAGTCTTAATTTATGTATTGACTGGAGAATAAATTCATGTGATGAGTTGAACTAATTTATCATAGATTCAAGGAAATTTCAAGGTGTTTCAAATTACCTTAGAAAGTGCTAATATACTAGTACAAATTTTAAAGTGAACTAGTGATATTAATATTATATGTTCTATTGACTTTAAGACGAAAAGCTTAAATGATTTAGTATACAAAAATTGATATTTTATAAAGCTTTTGCTGCCTAGATAGTTTTTATATATCCAGGCTTATTGGTCAATTAAAATAATCTTATATATTATTTTCCGTATTTTTGCTTATAAAGTTTAGATCAGTGTTTGATAAATAATGGACCGTTGGTTTGAAAAATGATAGTAACTTCTAATATAATTTGTTCATATATATTACTGTCTAGCGCTCAGTAGTATTCGTAGCATCATGTAGAAAGTGATATCTGTTAGTTAAATAGTTAATACCGTCTTCTTATGCACAATATCATCAAACAAAACACAATGAATTCTAGCAAGAACTCAACATGTCAGCTGTTTATATGAAGAAACTGACATTCCTGTAACAAATTCTGAATATAAGGTTATAAACAAAGTGTATATTTTAATTAAAGGCTTTCTTAATATGCAAAACTAATTTATTTCCGCCATTGTACTTAGAAAATCTGCTGCTCTTAATTTTTTGTAAGTTTCTTAACTAATACAGAACTATTTTTCGCTCTTTAGATTAAAAAATAACACTGACAATCGTTTATTTCCCTTATTAGAATAAAGAAATTAGAATAACCTCATGACTCATACAGTTTTATCAAACATTTGTTTCACTGTATTGCTAAAAGAAAACAAATCTGTAGAAAACTAAGGAAATATCACGATGTATGCTACCTATATTGACAGATATAAGTAGTGTGTAGCATCAATCGAAAGTGGAATGCATGCCAGTAGGAGATTGAGAAGTTTCAATTGAAGAGAACAGAAAGGGAAACAAAAAGTAATTAAAATAGCAACATAATTGAAAAAACCATAAAGCATGTAAAGAACAACTGATGGACGATGTATTTGATGTATAGTTTACATATTATACGAAATCACTCTGTAATTTTGTATTAAACAATAAATTGGTTATCCCCACTAAATCTGCGTTCACTTCAATATATAGACACATATATTTATACAATAAGTTTAACTGTCATAATCTATTGTATAATTCATGAATTTCTTTGTCTACATTATTTGAAATATTTTTAATTACATTCCAAAACTTATAATAATGTAAGTTTAAGTACAGAAATTTACAAAAACTATTTACATTATTCTGATCAATTAACAAAATACATTTACCGATACATATATAAATTTGTCGTCCTGGTTTTTAGTGGTTGAAATCAAGTTGCTTGAATAACACATTACTATTATTATCATTGTTATTATTATTAATTGTGACTTTCACTCTATTGATCAAGAGATAAGGGGATTAAATGCGGCCTATGCTCTTACACGAGGAGTAACAGGCGTAAGTAGTAAGTAATGAGTATTTGAACAACTATGTATTCTCTGTTGTAAACAATTCACCTCACTACTGCTACCAACAAATTAAACAAAAGACTATTAAGGAATTAATAATAAAAATAATTTAATGTTTCAGCAAAAAATTCATCTATCAACGCAACTCAAAAAATTTTTATTCATAATGAGTTATCATCTTCATTTTAACATAGTTTTTCGGCCTTAATGAGCGTTCGATAAGCAAGATACAAACGGACCAATTCACTTGTAAATGAACTTTTATATCCTATTATAATTTTATATCCATCCATATCATGAATAATTAGATGATTAATAGTTTTTCAATTGGAATTAATTATCATCTATTTAACACTTATTCCTAATGGTTTTCTTTTTAATTCCGTAGACATAAAGTCACATGTTTACTTATGAATAAACGAATCATACAACTAGATTCTTTTATTTTTTTCAATGAACATTCATTCCGATTACATGCATATACAGATATATTAGGAAGACGTTTATGCGACTTGTAGAAATATGCTGCTAATGTAGATAATAACTTGAATTCTGTCTCAGTCTATATACACTTGAACATACTAAACTATACTAGATATATAAAGAACCTTAGTTAAATTAAAAAGTCTTTCTAAGAAGACTAGAAAATGTGAAACTCAATTGATGAATGTATCAATGCTTTGTGCCCAATAAATTTTCCGAATAATTTAGATTTTTATCTATTTAGAAAAAAATACTTGTTTGTTTAAAACCCATATTTAACTGTCATTAAATTGTTTAGCTCTCGTTCAACCTGGCTCTTTGGATAATCCATCAAATAATTTAAAATTTGATGATGAATTATTTACTGCAATAGATGGTGATGAATCCGATCCAAATAATCCGTATTCACAGAAAGTACCTGGTAGTTTGATAGATAGTCAGCAATCATCGATTCGTATGAAAAATTCTGAGCGAAGAGATTTGCCATTTCATCCACAGAATAGCGGCTCTTCCTCATTCAGATCAAGGAATAGTGACTCACTGAAAACCTCTTCAGTTAAGCGCGCTCATTCAAATTCTAATGCTAGTGAAAGAAGTGGAAAGCAAAATTTTATTTCTAAGCCGCGAAGACAGACTCAAGAAGTTCAGAGTTTCGTGAATGAAGTTGCTGGAACTGGACCTAATCGTGTACAGTGGTCTGAAATGCCTCAAGTGATCAGCGCAGGTTTGGCCAGAGACCTACCTGATTATCAAAAGAAGTTGCAAGAGGTCTGTTTTTATTATCTTATTATTTACTGTGATCACTATTTTCGTGTAATTCCGTATCTGATTCTGATAATAATATACAAGTTTCCTGTGTGCGGGCCCAAAATAAAATAACTGAATGGGAATGATGCTTTATTAGATAACTGAATAGACATAAATATATACGTAATCCTTCAGAAAGTTAAGCCATATATTCGACGTATAATGAGTATTTCGTTCCTCAAGAAAGAAAGCTAACTCTTGGCCAATAGCGTGAGATTATCATTTGCTCGTTGTCTGTTCTAACCTCTGCATCAATTGGCAACAATAATAACACTTTCAATTAATTACTGGAAATATTACGTCCAGCTTTTTCAAACGACCAAATATTGTGTCTAATATCCAGTGACAAACTAGCTCCGCTTTATTATTATTTGAACCATACATTCCACAACATTTTAATTACAACATAAGTTCGCAACGATAAATAGCCGCTAGGAACCTTTCAGTTGGTTTTAAGTATATCCCAATAGAATAAATGTATAAATAAAATTAATATGACCTTATTAAAACAGGCCGACTAACACTCATTTCTCCGATGTACACAATCAATGATAAAAATCAAAATTGCCACGCTTCTACTAGTATACTTAAAATTTCTGGTCACGAGGATAAATCGACTGTAAAAAACAACGATAAAATCACGATTACCTGATACTGATAAACCGCGAATGCATAGTGAACTGAGAACTGTTCAAAAAACTGAATCTTATTACTTAATATAATGCATGGTGATTTCCATCCTAAATGACAGTTAAAAGACTGGAATGCTTTTCATATACAATTGAGTTATGTTGCTTGACATTTCGAAACGAAACATGAACACATGCAAGATCATAAATTAGAAAGACATAACGAAAAATTACATATATAACCATTTGATATGAAGTGAAATTTTTAAGTTACTAAATATCAAAGCAGATTACTGACTATTGATGCCTATAAAGCTAGCTACTTATAAAAATATAGTCGGGATCAATTCATTCAAAAAGTGACCTAACAATACTCATTATGTATAATATTCTGGCGTAAGTAGGGTTAAATATTTCACAGCTTATTATTGCAACTTTGTAACTTTGGGAAAACAGAACACAATACGGAATAAAAATGTTAACGTAAACATAGATTACCGAGTGGAAGTTTTTCTTCAACCTGCAATCCTTTTTTGAAACCATGAGTGTTAATACACGTTACTCTTAAACAGTCGTCTAGACATTATACAAGTACTAGTTCATTATCTAATTTCATACAGTCACCAAACAAAATCGGTTAGATAAATATAAATTCTTGGTGTCACTACATTGAGTAACCCAGCTGACTTATTTGTTTGATTTCAGTAACAAATTGATAGGAAAAATGACCATGAGTGTTGTTTGTTTCTGTAAAGTCGAAAGTAGACAATTGCCTTTTCCAAAAAGCTGAAACTTGAGATTTTCATTTGACGTTTTAATTTAATATAACAATTGGTAGTATTTGATTCATGTAAAGCAAATAGTCAGGTTTAGCGTTTATACTTTTCAAAGTTATGTGACTTTTTCGTTGTATAAAAAAATTAGTAGTATTCTTAACACCGCTGAGTGAAGGAAGAATTGGACCCTGTCATCTTACTAATTCGTAATACCAAAATGATTATTTCCCTTTTTCAGGCACTGTTTGAAGTTATAACGTCAGAAGCGTCTTACTATCGAACCCTGCATATTTTAATAGAAAAGTTTTATAAAGCTCAGTGTATGCAGCCAGATTCTAAAACGTCTGTTATAACAGCTATTGAGAAACGACACTTATTTTCAAATATATCGGAAATATTTTTCACTAGTGAAACGTAAGTTCAAATATAAGTTTCTATTTTACCATATTGATTTTTATTCTTATACATTTACGAATTATATTCAAAATTTTGCTTGAACAATTATATATAAAATTTGATGATGATTTATGCTGTTTGATTTTAGAAATCAATTTTCACACTACTTTTACGAAAAACGAACCAAATAGTATATATGTCTGTCATTTTATATCATCACTTCGTAGATCTTTTCAATTAATAGGACCTGACTGTTGTCATTCATCCTCAAAGTCAATGACAATATCTATCATATAATTCGTTGACCCTTAGTTTTACTTACATTGGATGCTAGGTTGAATCCAATGAACATTTGTATGGAACGTCAATTCGAGTTCTGAAGTCTATTTACAAATCTTATTAAATTTCGTTGAGAAATAACTACTGATGAGTATTTAAAATTTCGTGATAACTTTTAGATTCCCAGGAATATGTAACACTGAATAAAATGATAATTAATAATTTTTCCTAGTTCTTTCAGATATTCATGTAATTGAATCTTTTAGCCCTTGTGTAATACCTATTTTTACTAGAGAAAGCATTCGAAATAATTTGATTAACGTTGGATTTTGTATTTTGTTACACAATGTAAACGATTGAAACAGTCTGCTTATCAGCCAACTCACGAGTAAGAAGGAGTTGAAAGGATTTCATTAAAGTCTTCCTACTAGTTACAAAATTTCCAGCTAATTTTAAACTCATACATGTGAATGGTTAATAAAGGCATACAGTGATTAGGATAAATTTAAGCTGATCTACATCTTCCGTTTTGAGTTTGTTTTCAAGTTATCAATTTAAGTAGTGAATGAAATCCAACCCTTTTACAACCCTTGACCTTGTAGTTATCAAATCATTATACAGCTTAACTAAGTTCTTACTGTGAGTGTCCAACAACGTCAGACATTCATAACAATCAAAAAAAAACTTCACCCCCCTCAGCATTAATAGTCATAAGTGAGAATTTCTCCATTAAAAATTATAGTAGTTCCTCATTCCTATTTTGGCTTACCGAATAGAAGGACTAACTAATAATAACAATCTCGACAAATCCCTAAACTGACAATAATAAACAACATTTTTACTTAGATCAGGAAATTCCTTTCAGAATTATGACATTCAGCTTAATCATTCATTGCTGAAAAACTTAGTTTTGTGGGCCATTAAATGAATTAAATTTAAGGTGTCAAGTAGACTCGTTAGGCTTATTTGCATTAATCAATAGCCATTTGGTAAAATGTTTCGATCGACTCTAAACGATATCATTAATGAATAACAGAGAATTTATTTTTACATCATACATGAAACTACTAATGAGTAGTACATATCATTATTAGGTAAAGTGTTTAATTCTGTGACATTAGTGATTGGCTTAACTTTTGTATATTCTTCTTAGTATTCTAATAAATATTCGAAATGCCTAGATTATTATGGTAAATAAGAACTGATACATTCCATCTTTACGTTTCCATTTAATTTTGTTAGTTTTCTTAAAAATCTGTTTTATCATTCTAGCTATTCATCGTCAAAATTTTGTTTATCTCAATTATTTAGATTTCTTCGAGATATGGAATTATATTTTATTCAAAATCCACTGATACCTCAATTATGTGAAATTATATATGAACATACTGAGAATCATTTTGAAAACTATGTAAAATATGTACAAAATCAAATGTACCAATTAAGAACACTAACGAAATTATTGTAAGTCATCATTAATATAAACTGTATCATTTTAGATACCCTACAGAAAAAAATTAATGCAAAAAAAGTATTAGATTGAAAGTGTTCTCACTTTTTTTAACGAAATATTCCCTATATATAGTTTATCACTTTTTTTAAGATAACATATGTATCTTTAGGAAGTTAAATTGAAATTTGTATTGATACAAAGTATACATTCGTCTTTATTGATATGATACCGTCATTCTAGAAACAAAATAGAAAATTTCAAGTATAGTTCAAAGAATCATGGTTTTCAAATGTTCTATTTAATAAACAAAAAATTATTAAATTACTTATGTGTAAATGAACTTTAATTATCACTGAAACTTAAAGACTCATATCAATTTTCATTAAATAAAAATTCATTTTATTTCAAATCTTTCCATTCGTTGCAAATAATCTACAACTAGAATAAAAGATCAAATTTTTTTTTAAAAAACACATGTAAATTGTTGAAGTTTAATTCAAAAACAAAAATAAACAGTGACAAACACAAATCTAAATAGTAAAACTTAGCAAATGAAGTTGTAAAGTATCGTTAACACAAATTTATATTCGTACTAAGTGTCGTACGATTACTAAAAATGAAAAGTGACTGTTACTGATAATCACATAATTTCTAAATAGTGAATAGAATCATTTGTTATATTCACATTATATTATCATTTTAATGATTAAGATCTCCATCTTTAAATTGCTAAATAAAAATTTTCTCTTCATTTTTATCATTCTTTATTTCAAACGTAATAGTTTTCTATGGAAATGAATAAAGGTAGCACGGAAAAATATATCAGAAATTATATGCTACTTTGTAATGTGATAAAATATTTTGAGTATTATTTTTACATTTATATTAGTAAGGAATAAAATCTGATGAAACTGATCTATGTCACAAAATCTTACTTACTTACGCCTGTTACTCCTAATGCAGCATAGGCCACCGACCAGCATTTTCCTACCCACTCTGTTCTGGGCCTTTCTAGTTCTATCCAATCGTTATACATTCTTCTCATGTCTGTCTCCATTTCTCACCGTAATGTGTTCTTTGGTCTTCCTCTCCACCTTTAGCCTTAAGGATTCCGTGTGAGGGCTTGTCTTGTGACGCAGTTGGGTGCTTTCCTCATTGTGTGTCCTATCCACTTACAGCGCTTCTTCCCGATTTCTTCCTCCGCTGGGATCTGGTTTGTTCTCTCCCACAGTAGGTTGTTGCTAACTGTGTCCGGTCAACAGATCCGAAGTGTTTTGCGTAGGCAACTGTTGATAAACATTTATATCTTCTGGATGATGGTTTCCATAGTTCTCTAAGTTTCCACTCAATACAGTAAAACTGTCTTGACACCTGTATTGAAAATTCTGACTTTGGTGTTGGTTGACACTTGTTTTGAGTTTCAGATGTTCTTCAGTTGTAGATATGCTGATCTTACTTCTCCGATTCGCGCCTTCATATATGCATCAGATCCACCGTGTTTATCAATGATGCTGCCCAGATATGTAAAGGTTTTTATACCTCCAAAATCTCCGTCAAGTGTGATTCGATTGGTGCATGCTGTGTGGTATGCCACAAAATCTACATTTCAATTGTTTTTTAAGGATTACTAATAGTATAATTAAAATACCAATTAATAAATATTGAGTCAACTTATATAATTTTGTTTCAGATCTTCTCCTGCTTTTGTAGAAGCTGTTCGCTCAATACAGCAACAACCAAGCTGTGGATTCCTAGATCTTAATTCCTTCCTATTACTTCCAATGCAACGTGTTACACGTTTACGTCTTTTATTGACTGCTATCTTACATTATGCTCCTAAAAACGGTGTTACGTATCAAAGTGGTTTGGTAGCCCTTGCGTCTATAGAAAAAGTAAGTTCAGGAATAAATACTTTACTTTTGAAAATGACGTCATGGTTAAATTTAAGTTAGAAATTATGAAATATCATAAAACTTCTAGGCCAATTAGTTTATGTATTTCAGTGTCCGTAAATATTTATAACTTCCAATTTAAAACATTTCCAGTTCTATTAAATCTTATAATACTACTTGATTTCTTGCAAAATGAGAGAATATCAAACACTAATCAAATGATGCATCCAGATCCTCCAACTTTTTTACTGTCTATCATCTCTCAACAAAACATATTATACAGGATTATTTAATGATAAAACTATAGAATATAATTATTTTCATTAACAAAACACTTTATATTGCTAGTTTTGCATTCCCTAAGCTTTTTTGTAATCAATGAATTTAATTATTGTTGCTCTAATTGAGGTTAAAGGTTCTAACAAATCGGTATATTTATAAATTGATAGAAAAGTCTCATTAGACTCGTGCATTGACAAACAAAAACACTTAATAATTTTCTAGGGAAACTCAATTTCTCGGAGAACTGGTAAGATGAAAAGTGTCAATCTGGCTATTCGCTGATCTTTTGCAACTGTCCGACCCTAAACAATCATCTAAATGTAGAGTTACTTTATAGAATGAACAGGCTTGCTTGAACTTCTGGTCTACCTGTTCCTCTCATCGAAATATTTACACAAGTTATAATTTTTTCTTTTGTTTTAACACACTCTACCTACTGATCGCATAACCTATTCAAACACATTTATGAAAAGTTTACGACCTATCACATTACAAGTTACAAAAAAGTACAATCAGAGACATCGTGGTGGCTGGTAATGTGTATTAAAAGGAATGAATACTAATCAGATATCGATTACTGAACTTCTAAATTCTAACTGCCAATCACTAATTAACACGGTGGACTATCTTCGGTTCCTGAATGTTTGTGACTTATATAAGTCTTCTTTGCGTCAGTCATCTTATGTCATGCTTCCTATATCTACAGGTGTGAATAATAATTGTGTTTCAATTTTCACTAAAACTGACGTCCGAAAGTGTCTCCAGTCACTTAATTCATCGCAATGTTTAGGGCCTAATGAAATTCTAAACCTCTTTTTTAAGAAGTATGCTGACGTTCTGTGTTATCCATTGTCAAGCATCCTTAGCAGATCCTCTTCAACTAATCTCATACCGAAAATGTGGAGAAAGATTATGATAACCACAATGACTAAGAAAGTATCTGGCGATAAGAATGTGAAATTTGAATTCATAGTAATAACTTCATCTTTCCTCAAAACAACGAAAAAATTATTGACACTGACACTTCAACCTGCACTAGAAGAGCACATTGATCCGTATCAGTTTTCTTATAAATGCAAAAGAGGCACCTTAGATGATGCTGTTGTTCTGCATCATAATATAGTGTTCAGCTTGGAAAAAGATAAGAGGTTTGTTCGATGCGCCTTTCTGGACTACACTTCTACTTTTGAATCTATTCTAAAACGACTTCTACTGAACAGGTTAATCAGCGTCAACAGTGACAGCTGGATAACCATCTGGCAATGTTTTTACCTTTCTAGAAGAGAAAATCACACTGTGTTTGGAAGAAAGTGTTCAGCGTCACTGCTGTTTCATGAAAGTGTGCCACAAGTAGCTGTCCTGTCCTCTATTCTTTTCTCTCTTTTTGCATGATCTGCCATCTTCCACAGAGAACACTTGTTAAATATTAGGAAGATCTCACTAAACATATTCCGATTTTTACCTTTTTACATCCCTTTGAAATGAATGAGTTGTTGTCTCTTACTGAATGGTAGTCTGTTGTTAATGGTATCACACTTAATCCGTCTAAAATTCGGTCTGTTAACTTTAGCCTGAGACATGAACAGCACTCAAACACCTTGTTGGAACCCTATAAAGCTTGCATTATCTGAGACTTTGATAAACACTGTGTCAAAAGTCATTTATCATAGTGTAAGTTTATATTCTGACCTCTCGTGGTCTTCTCATATTTTGCGGTTATCAAAGACGCTTTTCCGTCTGACATTATTATTAATAGCTTTATTCCATATTATATTATTGATACAACGTGAAATTCTCAGCAAAATATATTTCAACGAGTTTCTTTTACAAAAATGAAAAAAGTGGAAAAACTTATAGCTCCATACATATATGCGTAAACTCAATAAATAAACTACCCGGAATGAAAAGAAATAACTTTTTAAAGAAGATTTGAATCTGTACAACTTTTCTAATTAGAAACATGTTTAAGAATACAAGTTATTGACTGGGTAAACTCTAACAACCTGTTCTTCACATTGTATATTTGTTAGATGAGATATTGTAGAGCTTTTTTATCTTTGCTTGCGCGCATGGATTCTAATGTATTGACGCCTCGTCTTACCAAAAGATTCGCAAGAAGAAAGATATGAATGAAGTATCTAATGTGATAACATCTTCCAGAAGTTTGCAAGATTTATAATGTCTATCTACAACCATAATAATAACCCAAAAAGATTCACCCCACACCCTGTTAACTATCTTCAGCAATTTCCTCAATGCAGAAAAGTCTTTTCCCAAAAGACCAGGAAAGAATAATGGAGAACAGTAAAGAGTAGTAATGTAATATGCAAGAGTCGACAAATCGTAGGAGCAAATGTTGAGTAATCCCAAAAGCATGCAACTCATTATGAAGTATAAAAGCTCTACAATATCTCATCTAACAAATATACAATGTGAAGAACAGGTTGTTAGAGTTTACCCAGTCAATAACTTGTATTCTTAAACATGTTTCTAATTAGAAAAGTTGTACAGATTCAAATCTTCTTTAAAAAGTTATTTCTTTTCATTCCGGGTAGTTTATTTATTGAGTTTACGCATATATGTATGGAGCTATAAGTTTTTCCACTTTTTTCATTTTTGTAAAAGAAACTCGTTGAAATATATTTTGCTGAGAATTTCACGTTGTACCAATAATATAATATGGAATAAAACCACCAATAATAATGATAATTTCAAAAGTAAAAATAATGATTCTTAAGTCTTTAAAAATGTGTTCATTTACGCCATTTATACGATTATTGTCATAAATACTCGAGAGTAATTGTCCACCAAATACAAAAGTACCAGTGGGAAACTTTCTGTTCTGTAAAATAATTGAGTAATTTTAATTGAAATCACGAACCGATCCTAGTTAAACAATTGCTGAAGGCACCGAAGACAGTAGGAGGTAGTCAAGTAATGTCGTGGAATGATTGATGTTGAACAATCGTACCACTGGATTCCAACTTAGTAGTCTGGATGTTAGGCGTTTGTGAGCTTAACCGAATGTACTTGGTCGAATTCTCTCTGGTAACGCCGTGGATGCACATTAGTGAGAAGTCCCATAGTAGAACAAAATGGTTATCTAGTACTTCCACGAATTTAATAGTTATCTAACTCAGGTTGGTTTGTAATACCACTCAAATCCAACAATGATTGTTTATCAACGAGAAACTTATCCACGCTAAATTGGTTGTGTGTAAGTCAACGATCAGTTTCCACATCACTCAGAAGTTTTAAATTATATATGATCAGTATTTAAGATCATGGAATGATAATCATAACAGTTCACTGACAAATACATTATTATTCTTATTTCGAACTCGAAAGTCAAGATTATACTTCTCAAGTATACTTGAAAACAGTATTTCATATAGATGATCTGTTAAACAGTAAGAAAAGAAGCTTCTATGATCTTCATCTATGATAGTGATGTAGGTATCCAAATTGATTATTTCAAAAATAATTTCTAGATTTTTAAGTTACATATGCAATTTTACTGTTTCTAGTTTGATTAATTCGCAAAATTACTCATAAATCAGTACTTTTACATTGTGTTTTGAAAATAACAAGGTTAAATTTTCCGTTTAAATTACAGCCTAAATATTTAAACATTGAATCCTACCAAAAATGGCAACAAAGCATATTTTATATTACCTTTTATGATAATATTGTATTTGACTTCAATAAAAAACTTTGTTAGTAGTTTTATTTTGATAAGTAATGTGATAAATATTTTCTGTTAGAAAAATTATACGAATACCAAATCGATAATTAAAAAACATAATATATTCTATGTGTCACATTGTTATTGATATAAAATATTTTAGAAAAGAAACGCATTTAATTGTAGTAAAATCAAATAATCTTATTATTGGTATCTAACTTTAAAATAGGTACTGATTATTTCGAACAATCAGCTAACTGAAATAATACAATAGTATATCATTGAAATTTACTATTCAGTGTATGATTGTCATTCAGTTTTAAAAAAGACAAAGTTGTTAATGAATTTACGAAGACTGTTAATACTGAATTTCGTAACTGATCACCATATACAACAAAAATATGTCAAAAAACTACACCGCCAAAGTTTCGAAAAAGTTTGACTAAATACCAAAACTATTATGCACGTCATTGATTGATCTGCCTTCAACAAGTTATGTGACTTGTCACAAATACTTGTCAGTATGCAAGATGCTTAGACACAACAGAGATTAAAAAATACCTTAAAATGATTGAAATAAAGAAAGAGTTTTAGTTGAATGGTGAAATGATCAGTGCTATACATACAACTTTTAACGGCGGTTAATCACGAAACGTTTACAGAACTTTATAGGTTGGCTCATTTTAAAATGTGCTCACGAAAAGTAATCTGTTCTAAACTGTAAATCAAATAACCAAGCATACCTTTAAAATATTTCAATTGACTGTTAGATTAATGGAATAATTAGACAAAATAATTTCAACATAAAACATTTTTGCTTTAATCTTCTTTTGTTAATTACCTAAGTATTCTGTGGTTTTCTAAGAAATTTAACATTTTATTTTTACTCATAGCTTATAAGTAAATGTGATTCAGAAAAAGCTCGTATGGAACAAAAAGAACGTCTTGTAGAAATTTGTAGAAGATTAGAATACAAATATGATGCAAAGGTAAATTCTATTTATTAACCAAACGAATTAATTGAATTTATTTTTTAAAAAGATTAATCACATCTCTACCATAAATAAAATTATATATTATGAATCTTTCTTGTTTTCAAAATAAAACAAAAAATATAAGAAAATAATTTAAATCCTTAAAAACTAATATCCTAGTCTTAAAGAATAAATTAATCTAAATAAAATGATTTCTAATGGATTATTAAAAACGTTATGTGAGTTCCTCCTACCCGTAATATCTTGTATACATCAGGACGCGATATGTAAACATTCATGAAATAACTATTATTCTGATATTTTTTTATTTATTTGAACAATATCAATCTTGTTTCTTTTGTTTATTTCTGCTCATTCCTAGTAATATGTTTTACCTCTGTAACTGATATGTAGTATCTTTGATTAATAACAATCCAATAAAACCACACATCCACGTCCATACCATCTTTCTATGTTTGTATATTGAGTTGAATCCAAAAAATCTCAACTTAAATATACTTCGGAATTTTTGACAATCCATGTGTTGCGTGTACAAGACATGAGCAAAAAACCCAACCTATTTGATAATGAAAATTCGTTGATATTGTTCACTTGTCATTATGTTTTCTTACAGGTTGTACTATCACAGATGACTTTTAAATCTACAATTTCTTCGAAGACTGATAGCGGTATCTTTATGTTGTTTAAAATGTTATCACATTTTTGTTTAGCGATCATTTCCATGTGTCATATATACCAGATACCTTAAAACCTCAACATTCATTTCTTTGGAATAAAATTCATATTTTATTTGAAATAAACACACCCCGATTTCTTTACACTACTTGATCAAATTTATTGGTTTTATCCATTTTACATCTGCATCTCAATTATTGTGATTTTATTTAAATTTTATGTATGCCTACTCGTAATAAAACAGTCTTTGGCTACGGAAAGTCGGACTCTTGTAAAAGAAGGTGATCTACGTCTTTTAACAATGACCAATGTACAGGGTAGCGGATTCCACCGTCGTTTCAGCAGTATTCGTAAACCCAAGGCAACAATAGCAACTCTATTTCTATTTAGTGATTACTTATTAATTACCAAAAAGCGAAGGTAATGTGTACTTTTAGATCTCCGTTTTATGTTTGTTTCAACTCTTACTGTCCTCAACCACTATTGTGTCACAATAATTCTTTGAGAAGATTCACTACCACTATAATTTTGTCAAAATAATGATCGAACACAGTGATATAAGCCAACATCTATGTTTAGTACATCAATAAACTACATGAAACATCCCAAAAGGTTATCAGGTTTTAATATTTTATAGTTGCAAATCAACTTGAATTATTGTATTAAAAGGATGTAATCCTGTTTGATGTGGTTTTATTTTTTATGTTTTAACCAGTCTCTAATATAATTAGAATGAAGAGATAATCAAGTATTAACTGAAGTGGCTGGTATCAATAACAACTACCCTGGTCCCTTTGAAGGACCGCAATATGTATTCCTAAGAACGACACTAAATTGATTATAGCTAGGCTTTTTAATTTAAAATCTTTATAGCAATGAATTTCATTCTAGGGAGAACCAAAATGTACTCAGAAAACCCTCATCAAATGTAAACATTTTATAACTATCTCTGTAAGTACTTGAACGGGAAACGACTTATTATTTAAACTCATGTAACTCAAATGACATTTTGAGATGGAATCATTAATGTACAGGCGCATATATCACTTACTAAATAAAAATGACTAATTATTTGTTGTACTCCTCCTATTTGACTTTCTGAATTTATTGAGTAGTTTCACTACAAGTACTTGCTATCATCTTTTAATTTTTTTATTATAGAATAAATAACATTAAATTCTTTATTAAACATTCACAAACAAAGTTATTGAAATTTAATGATTCTGAATTTCTATACTGTATTAAATCGAAATTTTTTGTATGATAAAATTAATAATCCCTATTTTGCCAAGAAACAGATATTTCGCAAAAATACTTATTTGTTGACTTCATTTTCAAAATCTGTACAGTTGTATTCATATAAAATAACTGATGTGATGAACAAGTTGTTTGCACTGTACATTTGTATAATGTACGAAATTCAGAGAAAGCATTCTTATTAGTAGGTGGATTAGCTTATAAAGAAATCATTAGACGGCCTAGAAATTACAACTTATATAATAGAGTAAATGTCAACACACGAGTATATGATGCGAGATTATGGTGTAATTATTCAAGTAGATTGTTAAAAATCATTGTAATTAACTGTGGTTATATAATCCCTCGAATCGAATAAATTAAATTAAATGAATTCAACTGGGAAATGTCCGCATTTAATAAACTAAGGGGGATGAGATTACATTTGAATTATAGATAAAAAGAAGAAAATGCAAAAACGAAACCAATCTTATGAAGGAAAAAAGTAAAATTATAATAAACGCTACCATTGACAATGCTTCCATAGAAAAATATCTGACTCTGATTTAAGTATTCATGCAGTAGTTTTCATAAAAATGAGGTATATGGATCTGAGTTCACCAGATTAGGTTTAGTCTTCTACATAAGACGTTACGAAGAGTTCGCTACTACGCAGTTATTGTCAACTCCATGTGGTGTAAAATAGATGGTTTGGTTATTTTCATTTATCCTTTAGTGAGTCATCATAAGAACCACTCTCAATGAACTTAGTATATGCTTCCATAACGAAAATGTATGGTTTATATATATTTCACACAAAAGACAGTTATCTACTCCTTTCACTTCCATTTATCTTCAAATATGAAGAAACTAATCTTACACTGAACATTAAGAAATAAACTTACAAACATTCTAGTATCAGTTCTTCAGTTCCTTTGAAACAAGAATGTAATTTAATTGACTCATTTTTTTATCTTTCATTTTTGATCAAAAATGGTCTTAAACATGTCTCTAAAATACCAGTTTCTGATACATCATTGTTTATTTTAAGCAATGGCGTTGTCATTAACATCCTTATGATATGATCTAATAAAAGTCAGGAGAAATTCAGTCGCTTTTGTAATCGTCACGTTTAATTTATTTTAAATCACCAAGACTTTATAAGTATTTTTCTAGATTTTAATTTACAAATCTCTTTCATGTAGTTTAGCTACTAAATTCAGATGCTTAACCTCCTGCTAATCTTTTCTTCATTCAAGTAATCAGCATTTGTTGGTTGAAGATAGTTGTTCGTTGAACTATATTCACGTGGAGGCCCAAAATGCCTTACGGAATTGTTTCATACATCATTTCTGCCGATCTGGGGATCCCAAATTAAATGCACAATTAAGACATGTGACTTATGTAAAAACGTTGAGTCTTCCTAAGCAAACTGCTACTGAAAAAGGCAACGTAATTAATCAAAAACCACGAAAATTTTCTACAGATACAAATAATGCAGATGTTGGGCTCAATGTATTTTCGTTTCTCCTAGTAATAGAAGGCCCTGATCATCCACGTGTTCAGTACGTGTTCCAAGCAGAAACACTGTAAGTATAACCACTTTTAAAAGTATTACTGAATTTTATAAAGATTACAAACCTATCTAAGTCAAAACCAATGAAAAAGTAAGAGTACTAGATAACCGACTCGTCCATTTATGGGACTCCCCACCAGTGCACATCCACGACCCCACCACCGAAGACCGAACTCAAAACCTTCGTTCTGGTCTACAAACGCCTAACCTCTAGACCACTTGGCCGAGATCCGATAACTTCTGAGAACGAAGGTCTTAGGTTTAACCCTTGGTGGCAGGTTCATGAATGCGCAGTTGTGAGAATTTTCATACTAGAAATAAAAAACTGCCTAGTGTTTGCAGGTTTCTGATGGTTGTCTAAATTAAATCGGTTTCTGATCTTCACAGCCGCTTTCGTTTTATTTATACATTTACCACAATAAAATGAAGTATCGTGTTTTAAGCTTACCAACATTAATAAAATAGTATTCATTTTCATATAAGTTTCACCCCTATACACTTGCATTTCATCTTTAATACGCACTTGTGGTTTATGTTATCAAGTACATTCAAGTTAAGAACAGTTCAGTAAAGCTAACGACTTCGAGCTTAAACTACTTCATAACGCTAAGTACTTGGTCACAACTGCTTCGACTTGTCGAGCATTTCTTTGTAACTTATATTAACCAACTAATTATAAGTGAACATAATTTTCTCATATATAATTTGTAGGATTGATTTTATCTATTGATTTTATCTATTATTATTACTTAAACCATATATAGAGACAACTATCTAACCGTAAGTTATTGTTCAAACGGTCACAAGATTGATTTCATGCTTTATCTTTTCCAAAACGTACAAATAATACACTCGACGTGATAACTATGTATAAATACTGACTCAATATAAACAAAAACATACGTTGACCAATATTAGTTTGAGATATATAATAAGTCATATTCATCAAAGAAACTGAAAGTTAAATAGTACTCCCTTATCGATGTTCATCTAATGCATACAAGTAAATATCAGTAAATTCCAATGATGTTTTCGTTTCTGTGAACTTTGCGTTATACTTCAGGAACTCATTGAGTGCCTTCAACGCAATGAGTTGATCACAGGATTTTAATCTCTGAAAGATTCCCATAATTTTGTTTTAATATAGTGAGAATTTTCCAGAGATTAAAATAGCAGTAAATAAATTAAGGCAATACCAACATAAATGGATCTGTTTTTAAAGATGGGAAAAATAAAATCATGATCAAAAATTGCCGTACAATTAAAAAACATTGTAAAATCGTCTTGCTTACTTTTGGGACACAGTTTTTGTGTGACAAGTGTTTAATAGAGATGACTTCCTCATAAAAAAGCAGAGATGTTTTGGTTTATGCACGTATTATTCGTGAAGTTTAATATTTCAATCTTGCATCCTCTACCTGATATTTGCCTTTTAATTATACATGAAAATATCTGCACTTTTATACAGAACCGTCTGACTGAATTTTTGTAAAATTCGGTAAAAAATATTAACTAAGTCTTTTCTAAATACTAGATCCTTCCAAGTACATGAACTTAAATCCAGATGTCAGTTAAACTCACAAAATCTTTTATTGTCTTTCATTGATTTAATGATCAACCACTGTGGTATGCTTTCACTAGCCAAGCTACTGAGAAGGTTAATTATAGCAAGCTATTGTTCACTTTTCAGTTTACTATATTTCACCCCTTTTCCAGAATAAAAGAATAAAATTATCTGAACGATTAGTTTTGCAATGTTTTGTTCACCATATGTAATTATGTTTCTTAGGATATCTAACATTTATGAATAAATAAAACTGATAAAACCATGTTGATAATACCGCCACTGAAGTGATTCGACTAGACTCAGGAGAGAAGATAAAATCAATAGATGAAAATTTATTTGAATGAGGGTTTGTGGTGGTTGTAGTGACTTTAATCGATTTTAATCTGTCTAGTCTAGATTATGACCTTGGCGCAATAGGCTGAGCGGTTTAACCTTGAGTCTGGTACGCGTGAGTTCGAGATGGGGTAGAGAGAAAGCTATTCTAGAACCTGGCAAGCACGCAAATGAGAGAAGACAAGACAGTTGGAACACTCTGAATTCTGAATTCGGATTAGTGCAAAAATGTACATGAATAAATAAGTGAATATCCTGACCACAACGTACGAAAATTTGGGAAAATACAATTATGTCCAAAACTGGGAATTAGGGTAGAAAATAAGGTGCAAAATATTATGTTTAAATTACAATGGTTTCGGAACAAAAAAGGGTATGGCAGTGAATGATACATCGAACGAAAGCTCATGTTCTGTAGAATAAGATAGGGACAAAAATAAATATAAGTGTTTTACAAGGTTTGAATAAAATGAAATAACGTCCCAAGAAATAGCTTACGTAGTTTGTCTGGGCTTCTTATTTCCCCGTTCACAACATCTACGAAAGAAAATGATTTTATTTTGTCGTACAAACCCTATTCTTGTTTTGCTCAACAAATTGTTGTTTTATCACCCAATTAATTCCAAATCAGTGTGTCTAAAATTTGATTTAATTAAATTTAAGTACAGTTGAATAATAGTGACAAAAAGTTGGTTGTTAAAACCGGCATTTTTGTTTTGCTTTTTTATCTCATGATTTCTGGATAGGAATCTTCATCGACTTTTGAATTTCAAGGTCATCGTAATGCATCCGAACAACTTAGTAAACTATTGTGGGTTGAAGTATATTAAAGCTTCAGGTCAAAATGACGCGTTGCTATTGTGACAGGGATCGATAAATTAGTCTTACGAATACGTATGCAGTTTCAGTACACAGCATTACATATACACAAACATGCTGAGAATATCTTATATCTTATACTAATAATATAATTTAGTTTTGTTTCAAGCTATTCACCTTTTATCAAGGAAATCAGTTTATAATTTGGTTAACAGGCCCTGAAAACATGTAGAACAATCCTCTTTCCAATTTATCATCATCATCACCATCATAAGCATAACTAACGGATAGTTACTTTAGTGTACTATATACTATGTTCTCAGAATTACTACATTGATAATGTTGATGGATATTAAGATAGTAATAACTGCAACAATGAATCCATAGTGTAAAAAATAGGAAACAATGAAATGAAATTATAAAACATAACTACTTTCAAATGTTAATTATTTCGTTGTTCGTTTTGAACAATTACTTATCTGTATCCAATAATTACGTGTGATGAAAAACTTTTACTCATATTCAAATGGCAAACATATCCAAATAGATCAGCAAGATTTAATCTTCTTCAGTAACAGAAATGAAATCTTTTTTGTCCTAACCATTACTCATAAAACTTCTTAATTTTTGTCGTTTTCAGTATAATGGATAGTAGCTATCATTTGAAATTGTTATTTCCTAATAATCTCATTTCTTTCCAAACTTCTGGTTCGACTACCAAGTTATTCGATATCAGTTTAAACAGCATCGTCTACGGGACTCATCATTCAATACTAGAACACTGTGAAATATATTTCTTAGTTTCAAGACTTTAAAACAAACAGTGTGAAATCTAGAACCAAAATTTACCCCATAAGAATATTTTGTGATATCCACACATAGTGATGAGAGTAGATGAATACAAATAAGTTGAGTCTAAATGGGTTGTTTTATAACCATAGCTAAATTTGTATTTCTACAACGGGCCCTTCCAATTTTAAAAGGCCATCGTAACAAATGATCTTACTATCTGCATGCATGAATTTTCTGTTTTCACTCATTATAACATAATCAGTTTCCACCTTCTGAATTTCCAATTTAACATGTTCGGATAATCAACGACAAAAATATGTTTTTCAATACAGTAGTCTGTTAATTATCCATAAAACATTCATTTATAAAGGTTGATGTGAGGAAAAAAGTACATGGCTAAATGTCTCACCATAAATCTTTTACGTTTTCTAAGATAAATTCCTTTCTCTTATTCAGAAGAAAGTGCAATAATCCACCTTTATTCCAAATGGTTTATTAAAATTATGTATCTAATGTTTTAATATATTTTCGGAATGTCAATAATATTATGTTCTTTAATCTGGATTTTAGCCGAAAACCTCTCATTATTTCCCTAGACAACATCATCAGTATAAATTCTCTTCTATATAAACTATCTTGAAGAATTAAACTTGTTATTCTTTTAGAACATGTGACAAGATGAAGTAACTTCTGTTATTTTTCTTTGTTTATCATTTTGTGATTTTTACTCAGTTCGAAAAGAGAACGATGGTTGGATGGTCTTTCATGTGGTCGTCATGGTATCCCTGAAAATCTAGGTTCGGACATCTGCGGTAAGTAATACTACAGCAAGATTTATTCAGGGATAAAGCATCACATAGTGTAGATGAAAGTATAATAATTCCACCTTACTTACTTACGTTTGTTACTCCCAGTGCAGCATAGGACGCCGACCAGCATTCTCCAACCCAAATTCCACTTTATTGATATGTATATACAGGAGGAACATGTTTGATGCGGATTAAAAGGAAATGAAAAAGCTTGTTTGTTAACTACCCTATGATTAAGTTAGAATACATGATCATTTAGTCAAGAATTCATGTTGCAGCATGAGTTGTAATGTTGCATTATGTTACATTATGATTACTGTAGTGTGCAGGCAGTAAATTATTTTCTATAATCGACCACAGTTTACTTATATACGGAATTGGTGATGCTACTAGTTTGCAGAGTGGATATTGGTGAGGATAAAATATATTGAATCAGTAGACCAAATAAGATCATGAATATCCAGCTTTATAACAAGTTTCGTTGCTTCGACTAGGTACTTTTATAACAATTTTTACTTGATTCGTTACGGATAATCAACCGAGCTGTTTTGTCTGTAATCAAATATTATGTTATTAAAGCCGTTGATCTCAGTGAAACTTAAGGAAATTAAGCGAAGAAAAACTACATAAGAGTTTTGAAGTTTAAACGATGGTTGATAAAACATACAACTTCATTGAAGTTAGTAAGTTGTTAACCAGCTGGTATTCTCACATTTTTGGCTTAATAGGCACCGGATGACCAATTAAATCAGCTTTCGATACAAAAGATATTTCTATATAGATTACCGATAAATAGGTATGATTAATGAATTTTTATCCCCTGAGTTTGAAAAAAACATCTTTTACAAACCACACGAACATCATCTTATTTTTGTGGATCATTTTAATGCAATGTTCAATAAATGAAATTCGGTATGAACATGTATCATCCTAGAATTTATGATTTCTGTATTAGTAGATTCTTTCTGAGTATCTTCAGCTTGCATTATGACATTCCCATACGATATATATTCCTGTAAAAGCACTTTTCTTCTAGACACCGGTACTTGATTTTTTGTTACATAGAATGACTGAAATATTGTTCAAGTCAAAATCTCCGATACAATGTAAACAGAGTATTACAAAACATTAAAATTTCGTTTAATCTCCATTGGAAAGTATTCAGTTGGCCACCTGTTCCATTAATTACTTACAACAGCTAGTGAAAACGAATTCTAAAACATTATTTCTGAATTCACTTGGTGATATTTACTTGTATCTTTCCATTGTTATTTTGGACTGCAATTGATCAGTCTCTTGTTAGCATATGTGCATCCTGTGCGGAATGCCTCGATATTGTCTGGGCACTGGATTCGAGTCCCAGAGCGAACATCAACTATGAGATGCAGATACGTCCAGCTGATAAGTCCTAAATGGGACGAAACGTGCGTCCTGGATTCCACTGCTAGCCACTATCCATCTTTGTTTATAAAACTATTTCTGAAGCTGAATATACAGTGATATCACTAACCCACTCTGAAAAGAGTGGTTGCAAATGCCCACTTTGACACTCAAAATGATACAGAGATCATTAGAGTACTTACTTTCCGGACTTTCTTAGCTAGGTATAACGTAACACACGAGAATCCTTCTAACTCACGTAAAGTCAAAACTAAACTATTAAGTCGGTCTAACACGATGACGTCGTTACATGAAGTAGCCCTCATCTGATGTTTGTTATTAAAGCTCTTAATTATTTAATGTAAAGTATAGTACTTTGTAGTAGTTTAACGGGGAATTAAATAATGCTTATGTTGTTTGAACATATGATAGCTCGCTAGCTGTTTCCACTAACAACCTACACCTAACTTGTATATAGTAGTGTCAGGTGATAATATGTGAGTCATACATTAACTAAAATAACCCTCACAATTATTAGACTGTTTAAGCAAACAAAATGTATACTAACATTTATGAATTAGTGATATAAATAATACAACGATGTCGTAGACTGTTTCATGATAGTTTATGAATATAAATGGTAATTCGGACCTTTACAATAGTATTCCATATGGCACTGAAAACTAGAAAACCTTGCAGTCTAGTGTATAGCTTTATATACCAAAATAACTGAAAAAAGGAAATTTAGAAAATCAGAGTTAACTATAACGAGAGTTATCACAATGGCAATCATATAGAATATCATTTACTTCTAAGAAGGCATTTTACATATGCTAAGGGAAGCTACTATTCTTCTTGTTCAGTGCTTTTTGGGTTTAAAATCGACAAAAATACGAATAGTTATACTTTAGTCAATCGATTCACAATGTATCTGGGTTTCATTTTTAGGTCAACATAAATCCATGAAATAAACAACATATGAAGACGTCAGTGAATTAACCTGTAGGCTATTTGACATTTGACGCATTATCTATAATCGAAAAATCTTGATTACCGTTTCATCAGAAACATCAGTTAAGTAATATTACAATAAACATACTGAAAGCCTCGAGTTGTAAACTGCAAAAAGACAACAAAGTCTGATGATACGAGATCATTGAAACAATAGATATAATTCAATGAAAATCCAATTGATAATTACTGACTAAATGTCCGATGAATAATTCAAATACACATCTTAAACTTTAGTGTTAATATCATAAAAATATAACATACTTTGATTATAATATATAATGAATAAGCAATATTTTGTATATGATCATAATGAAAATCAACTTTTAGAGGTCAAATATTACTTTAATCATCACTGATAATAGTTGTGCTGATATATTGGATGGTTAGTTTTTGGAATGTTTACGGAATAAATAATAATACAATTTAGGAACACAAATCATTTACAATTTGGAATTCAATTAACCATATGAATTGTTCGTAAATACTATACTCTTATTTCTACTTTTTTTATCTTATTACACAGAATGTCCTCAAGTACTCATCACTAAATCTTATTCTGCTATTGAATGTGATGAACTAGAATTAAAAGAGGGAGATCAAGTTAATGTGCTTGTCAGCTTATCAGATGGTATCCTTTAATTATTTTCACTTTATTTATATGACTACTTTTTTAAATATTTTTAATCACCATTCACCAAAGCTGGTTTCTAGTTATCTTTGTCGGAAATGATCATATATGCTGAAGTTAAAATATAGTCGATTTTTTCTTGTGCAGTCATTTGTTGTCACAGCACTCTAGACATTGCCTTATGTATTTATTGTCAGACTATGCGAATTAAATACCATACTATGCATGAACTTGAGGTTAGATTCATGTCCCAGCAATTTACAAATAAATAAATAAATTGACATGGTTTGTCGTCCTGTAGTTTGTCGTGTTATTTCACCTTCAAAAGATAGCTTCTGTTAGCAATTTATAAGACGTCAGTAGAAAGTTAAACCTCTAAATTCATCAACACAATGCACCCAGTGATTGATAACTCCGAAGCTTTTTGCTACTTTCACAGAGAAAGCCTCGTATTCTCGGTTACTTAGAGATATTGGTCAAGGTTTTATTGTAATGGATGAGAATACATGTGGGGATAACCAGTTGTGTCTTAATATAAAATTACGAAGTTATTTGGTCAAATGTGAGAACCATACAGTCAGCACTTTATTTGCAAATACTCCATCAACTGTCTCAAACTTTGTCGTTCCTTCAATGACATAACAATTACTCTGTTCCCGTGCTCTTCCATTCGACCTTCCAAACATTCTGCTGCCAGGCATTCCACTTCTGATTGCTGTTATATACTACGTATGTCGACACATGTATCATACATCGAAGCTGAATGTTTCAGAAAACATTTTACTGTTTCTTAATTGATTAGCCACTGAGATTCAGCTGATCAGCCTCAGTCTACGAACACAGTATTGATTCAAACCACTGAATCAAAAATATAATAGTCCACATTTCCGAGCATACAACTTGGGTTATTGGTGATATTTATCTCACAAGCGATTTGATTCTCTATCAATGATTTTGAAATAAGAACTCCGTAAATCAGCATAAACAACTGCTTCCCATGAAAAAAATATATTAATTAGTATAAACTGCATCGCAATTGATTGATAAATTTAAAGTGGTGGAACAAAAAATGTTTGTGAAATTGAATCCACACGTTAAGTATTTGAAGGTAGTCGATAGTAAATCCTTGATCCAGCTTTCGTGCTACATGCTGTCCATCAGAAAAGCGCACCTATAGTCTTGAGGGGGCCAGTGTTCCCTACGGATCCTTATCCCGTACCATCAAACCTGACAGTCAGAGACTATATCAGTGAGCTGTTCGAAGAGCATCTGGCCTTTTATAGGACTGAGTTGTTTACAGTTGATTGATCTCTATGTAGAAATCAATATCACGTATGTCCAGTCCTTAAAGTACTGATGGAAATCTATCGATAAACATATTTGAGACAATGTAAGTTGACTTATTCACTTATCAGCGTAATTCATGCTAAACTTGGTATTTACACTTGCATTTACGTTTACAAGGATTCCTGAACATAACCTTGATATAAAACGCTATGGGATAATTATAATAGACAACTTTTAAGGTTAATACATTTATTCCAAAAAGTATTAACTAACTATCTGAATTTGTTCGAAGGTCATTAAGTGCATTCATGTTTCAAATTTTTCACTGGTTTTTAAAAACCTTTTTTTATAACACACGTACTTCTAAGGATCACCAAAACTTACACGATTTTATTCACAGAAATATGGTCCTGATACCCACTGCTTGATATTATACCAGGAAATTCAGCACCTCCTATAAAAACTGTAACCGAAATTAATCTTATAAATGGGTAAACTCATTACTGAATTAGAGGGGAAAATATTTTATTGTAATTATTTATATAATAATATAGGACACTAGTAAGAGTTTGTATTATCTTGTTGCTGGTGGTTAACTGGACTCAGTGATTTAGTGCAGAACGCATATGACTTGGAATTGATTTACACTGAGTTCTAGTCTCGGTGTAAATAGCCCTGTTATGTCCAGCTAAAAAAATTACAGATAGGAAGGGACATGCATTCAATATTCCACTGCTAGCCACAATCCCAAAAATATTAATGGTGTAAGAGATCGATACACATTTAGCATTAAAGTTGCTGCAAGGATCATTAAATCTTAGTCAATAATTTTCTCTAAAAGAATATGTGTTGAATATCATAACTTTATACAAAAAGTAGTATCAAAAAGAAATCGCTTTTCAAAATAGCTCAAAATATTTTTTATTTTACAGGAATAGTGATGCTTAAAAGTACATGTTAAATACATTTGACTGGATTCTCTAAATTTATTTATCTGATGTCTTCAGAAGAGAACAAGAATAACATAAAACTAATCATTACACCGTTTTTTAAATCCCTTATAGGCTGGCTCAAAGGAGCATTACCTGACGGTAGACGTGGATGGTTTCCAAGTCATATTTGTACTGAAGTCAAAGACTCATCAATGAAACGTGAAAATATGAAAAATTTTATGCTTATGGAAGAAGCTAAAGCAGCCTACAGCGTGAGAAAAAGCCGTGAAACATTTGATAGTTTTCCTACAATGAAAGATATTCAAAATAGTAATCGAGACTTAGGAAAAATTAGACCAAGATAATACAACATATATAAAGAACGATGATGAACTACATAGCTAGTAAACGAAATTATGTTTTTATTTTACTCTTTTCTCTCTTTTCATAACCTTTCTTTTCTCATACTGAATGACCAAGATGGAATACTAGACAAAGTGTTGCCTAGCAATAATCCTAGGAAAATCATAATCTTACTTGCTTTTTATTTTTAAATAAACGATAACAAATAACAATCGCTGTTCACCATTTACTTCTTAATGAATATAGCACTCAAAGAGTATAACAAATATGACTATCTTTAAACTTGTAAAGTTTCTGTTAATTTTAAATATTTAAATGTGGGACTTTTTCAAAATATTCCAACTGAATCAAATCCATTATCAGCAATAGGACTTTAATTATGTACAAACTTTCAGTTTTAAACTTTACGATTTTGATAGGTCATTGAAACTGTTTTACTAATAACCGAGAATCCCCTCACGCTAATCTTATTGATGAATTATAGTAATTCTTTTTACGAGTAACTACTATTTGTTCAGAATTCTTAAAAATAACGATATGAAAATATTTATAATCCTATAATAATTTGGATAGTAAGTAATAAATAAGTATTTACAACCAGGATAGTAAGTAATAAAAGGTTTACAAGTGTTTGTTTACAAAACAAACAGCTTCAACGTTTACAATCACCGTGACCATATGCAGGTCTTTGTCATATTTGTTCATTTATCAGTTGGATGTTCTCATACCTTTATTTCTAACATCATTTCATATTACGTGACTAAACTTTATTCGTACGCGTATATGATAAACAAGCCTCACGCCATGTTAACAAATTGACTGTTACTGTATAAACACTTATCAGGTCTATTTTACCTCTATAATACTAAGTTAGAATCTATTCTTACTTGAAAAGCTTAACACTTTCTATGTACGCGATGGAATTGATTACTTTTATTCTCATGACACTTAAGAAATTATGCAAATCCATATACGGATAAGCGCGTACACTGATAAACTGTTTAAATCAAACAACAAGCATAGAAGACAGTGAGACAGTTAATATCTGCCAGTCAATTAAGGTTTCAGTCATAAACCGTGACATATACCTAGCTTTTGATACTTTTAATGACCAATAATGACTGAACTACGTTTTTCCTTATAAATATATTCCTATAATATAATTTTGATTGTTCTGTGTATTTACTAGTTTATTCTCATTAAAATTATACGGCCAACTGTAAATTAATTTGAAATTGTTCAGAACAAAACCACAAACAAAGGAAACTGAGTTATTCATATAGCTACTTTTAGTTATTTCCAAAGCAGCACCATGTTTGAAACTCATTGACGAAGATGTAACACGTTCCTTACAACAACCAAACATTTAAATTCAGTTCAAAATCTTATAGTCAGATTGCATGCCTTTACTATAAATGTGTATCATCATCAAATTCCAGTTCTCACAACAGATTGGATTAAGAAAACTCTCCTTTTACAGCAGTGCGTAGTTTTTCGTATGCATACATATAAACAAGCTCTAAGATGTAAAGCACTACACATATATTCTCTACACATGGGATGTGACGAGAATCTTAAACTATGATGTATGTCTTTTATTGTTTCCATAAGCTCCGATTTTAATGAATCTATATATCTGAATCAAGTACTTTGTATCCTAGTTAGAAAGAAATTGCATTTGAATCGAACTAAAAATGTTTGCATATTAATCTTACGAACAACGTTATGATGGGCGGTGTCTTCGCGCTAATCGCCAGAACTGACCACTTGAGCGAGAAGACAAGAGCGTAAGAAAAAGCCTACTGGGCTACTGAATAAAATGCATAAACACTCATTTATTTAGATACATTACTACCCCTTAGAAAATCAATTAATTTCCTAGCCAATCATATTAATTTGCCCTTCAAGTCATTTCAGAGTGTTATTGAGGACCTAAGTTGGTTACTTCTATTTTGTTGAATACATCAGATAACTACTACCGTAAATGGAGATCGAATTATTGAATTTATCTACGCGATAATTCGAATATGTGTATCGTTTACGGTGGGATTACATAAATTATCTCTAGTGGCATTTTCAGCATTCACAGAATGATGTATAAGTTCAAAGTAACCGATGAGACATACTGTCGACTCACTCTACTCCTTGGAGTATTTACTTAGTATGTTCTACAACAAGTATTAAATATGTAAAAGCTAATCAGAAACAATAATTTCTACATTATTTTTGACGAGGATGACATAATCCTTATTATCCATAGGTATCTATATCCATGTTCTATGTACGTTTGTGCATACATTACGCCTTCAATGTTAAGTCACAAAAACTGGAATACTATAGACACCTTAAGCGCGATTCAAGTAAATATCTTAAAGACTATTAACTCTAAATCATTTATACTCAGCTACATTTTATAAAAACTCGATGAGCAAAAGATCGAAATCCACTGAAGAAACAAGATTATTGACATTAACCGGTAATAACATCGATTAAACCGGTACACGGGAATAGTAATTATAATAAAGCTAGAAGTAAACTTAATACATGATTCCTTAGGAAATGACAAGTGGAAGCTTGAAATGAAAGAAAAAGAAAAAGAGAAAAATAAAGAGAAAATTAACAGCACAGCAAAATTACTGTTGTTAATAATAACTTGTGACAACGATTTTTAAATCGATTCATAACAATTATTATAATGACTAGTAGTTAATCATCGAAAATAAATAAAAGCACCTGTAAACTTCAAAAGATGAACGTACATAAAGCAGCTCCATAAAACACAAAGCAAAAACAAAAAAATCAAATGCAATACAAACAATAATGTTAGACTGACCAAAAACAATAACTTGTGTGAAAAGCAAACGAATTCTGAACTTCATATAAATGCAAAAATTGACGAATGGATAAAACTGGATCGAGCAATGTAATCAGCATATTGGTCAATACCGGTGCATATTTAGAAATGCAAACCGAAATTGGGTTAAAAAAGCAAATGAGATGGATGAGATCACATTCCCTGAACATTGTAGAAGTCCATTAAAAAGTCATACTGCATTATCAGTTCGTAAGACAAATCTACCTGCTTCCAAGGGTTCTAATATTTCTTCGATAAGATAGATAAGCGGCAGGCGTCTAACAGTACAAAGCAACGACAGCTCATTTCCACGACGAAGCTGAAATATGGCACCATCCGCTAAACTACGAGACAGAGCCCGATCAGCCACAATACTCCATACCTGCTGTCCGCCTGGATGCACTAATTTAGGAAGTAGAGGATATGGATCTAGATTGTCTGAAGTGTTAACTTGCTTGATATTCTGTTGATACTTGGCTCTCTTCACTGTTGCAATGGCTGCTGCAGCTGCGGCTGCGTCTTGTTGTGGTGTAGCAGCCGAAGGATTAAATCTTTCCAAGAAAGCGTGAGGTGACAGGCCATAAGCTAAGCAAAGAGCAAGATGATCAATTACCATATCCACAGGGTGACGAGCTTGTTGACGTGTAACACGCATATACTTTTGTAACGGCCTGATGAGAGTTGGGAAAACAGCTTGTGCTGCTTCGTACGGATCCAAAGATTTTCCTGGAGAGCAAGCAAGTTTTGACATCCTCCCATTACCTATAATCAAATTATAAACGCAATGTAGTGCTAAGAAATAATAACATAAATATAATTGTAACAAACGATGTTATACAAACTAATTTGCGCGATTTGTAAAGGCTGATAAATGCAACACATGAACTGTAACAAATGAAATGCTTTCGGGCAAATGAAAGGTCTAGGTATAAAGATTGATTACCATGTTAACAATACTTCAGAGACAAAGAGTGTATACACCGACGCCACTGTGATCGATTCTGGGACAGGTTGCCCAGAGTCTGTATTTAACAACATGGCTCAGACCAGTAGTTAGTGACCTAATGGACTGATGCTACGTTTTGGTTTGGCCACCCCTAACTTACTTCCAACCATCCCCAACACTAGTCAGCATTGCGCGCCGTGGTGATCGGTGTTCAGGCATACGTAACACGTAGCCCAACCATCTCAGTTGACGAAGATTTACAGCCTCATCAACTGATTTACCATCATTCTCTAATACCCTACACGTCTAACCTCACTAATACTTACTCAGTGATCCCAGCAGATGCCAGCAATATTTCTAAGGCACCTGTGGTCAAATACTAGTAGCTTACCAGCACCTTCTACTCTTAATGGCCACGTTTCGCAGCCGTAAAGTAGAACAGAACGAACTGCTGAGCAGTATACTCGTCCCTTAATTGATAGACAGATATCTCGCCTTCGCCATAGATGAGGTGAGTTGGCAAAAGCCAAACGAGCTTCTTGAATCCGTGCACAGATTTCGTCAGACACCAACCAATTTGGGCTGATCAGACTTCCAAGATAAGTTAAATTGTCGACGCGTTCGACTACTTCACTCCCTATCCTTAATTCGGGTGTTGACGTAGATTATTCCTGAAGCAACAACTTGCATTTAGAAGGGGAGAAGCCCACCCCAAACATTCTGGCATTGTTGCTCAGTTCTATCAAAAGACTGCATTTTATCAGCGTCTTCACCAAACATGACTATGTCATCTGTGTATTCTAAGTCGATAAGTGGGTCCCCTGGAAGGAGACTAATGCCCGAGAATTTAGTCTATGAGAGCGTTATTTCCATCAGTAGATGTATGATGAAGTTAAACAAAAATATAGAAAGTGGACAGCCTTGATGGACACCACTTAAATTTGCAAAAGCAGATGACAGTTCGCCATAAGCTCTGACTCGACTTGTAGTGTTCGAGTAAAGAGCCTTCACAAGGTTTATGTACTTCCGAGGTACGCCTTTCAATGACAGACACCGCCACAGAATCTCGTGGTCTACCGAGTCAAATGCTGCTTTTTTTGTCAAGAAAGACCACCATTGTCGGACACCGATAAGTATGCCTATGTTCTAGGTGTGTGACTTATCACCATTAGATAAAATTCATAGATTCTGAAGACAGTGTTCGTATTAATCTTACCAGAATAACTGATCAAATTATGTAAAACAGAATGAAATAAATCAGTTTACTGAACTTTTAGCTAAAGAAACATGTTTGTCAAAAGACGACATGAACAACCATAAATATTTCCCGCTATAATAAAAAAGGTATGCAAAGTGACCATTAAGATAAAGTAGCTCTTTATACCAGGTAGAGCGACACAATGTTGAACTTAGCACAAACGACTATCTATCAAACCTGTTATAACTAGTAACACCAGAAGACAGACAATAGAAATGGATGTTGGAAAAAATATGGGCGGAGTGGGTGAAATAAGCGAATAGAATACCGTATTTACTCCGAAATTCGCGAGAATTTTGGTTACTTTATACTTCAATATACGATTCAGACCAACAGTGATTTCACGTACTAACGTTACAACCTCGTTCAGGTTTTTTAAACTGACCTTAATTCAATCGGCATCAAACATTAAGTTAGGGAATAAGTTAGACAATTCCTGAAACTCATAAAACAGAAATTTACTTCGCTCAGCTGTGCAATGATGTTTCCGCAATGATAATATATAAAACTCAGTCGTAAAAAGCTTAGGACTTAACACAAATATGAGAAGGTGGTATTTTCCTCTACTCAGCATCAGCAGACCAAGAGAAAAATAAAGGAATCAAAATAATAGCAGTTATTTTAGAGGACCCATACACTTTTTCAGGTACACTAAATCAAGTGATACAATAACCAAAATACTGCCTACAATTCAAAGGTATCTAGATATATTTCGTTTTTAATAGCCTCCCAAACACATAGAAGTAGCACAAATGGGAAGAAATGCAGAAAACTTACTTCGATTGTTTTTGAAAGGTACCAAGGTTTGATCACACTCAACAACACCAACAGTTCCCTCATTATTGCAGTTTTCAGCAGCAAGGCGCTTAACATGAGTAAAAGCCTCCTCAACTGCCAAAAGTAGTCTCATGCGCCGTTTACGTATCCTTTTTTCCAACTCAATTTCCTCATACAAACGAACTGAAGCACTAGGGGCAGTAATAGCACCAGACTGCTCAACAGTATACGTAACACCATTTTCTGATTTACCTAGACCAGCCCCACCACTATCTACATCGTAAAATTTATACTTGGACCCACCGCCATTCCCACTACCAGAAGCAGAACCACCGCGACGATTACGTTTACCTCCACCCCCGCTGTTGAAAGATAAGTTTTGATTTGGGTTGTAAGCCTGTAAATACACATTTTTAATAAAATAAGGTTTCATTGCGCTTAAAGTAATAACGTGATATGTAGAAGATACATCTAAAGCTGTAAGCATATTTGGTGCGATATATGCACTAATGATGGATTTTTAGGTGAGACTGTAATTTATGGACAACCTTTTAGCGACGTTAAAGTGACCTTGAGAGTTTTCACGTGATAACTAGGACCAAATGAGGGTTATAAACCGACGTGAGGAATTCGAACTATGATTTACAGTTGATGGTTAGGATTAGGAATTAGATTTAGTTTTCACCACGAGCTGACAGCTATAATACCAAAACTCTATTTAGCCAAATGGATGGGTGAATTTCGCGCCAAAACCCGAGACCTGTTATCTCATACCTGATTGGTTCGTCCTGCTGTAACCTTTTACTTTCTTCATAAAAAGTGGTTGTTTCTTCCTTAACTTAAAGAATTCTTCTGGTCGTACCTTTCCGTTTCCCCCATTATTATTATTATTATTAATAGTACACTACCATACACTAATCTATGATCGTTATTGTTCTTTTTTTCTTTTTCACTTCCCATCCTCATTGTTTCGTATGGCGCATATATATCTGGTGCCCCTTGTACCAATATTCATGTGTTCAAATAAATAAATAAATAAATAAATTATAGTCTCGTCAAATATATTTCTGATTTAGTCGAAATACTAAGTAATCAGTACGGACAACAGTCTATGTTTTATTACTACATATGTAAAGTGAACAGCAAATATTTTCTTCCCAACAAAATTATCTCAGCTGTCAGTCCTGACGACCTAGTGTCTGGCGCAAACTCAGCATGAATTCAGAAAACTCGATTGGCTTTTGCCAACTTACGTCACTTGTGGCGTTGGACAGATATCCAAGTTTACTCCTCACTAGTTCATTCCGTCCTATTTTTTGGGTGTGAAACATGGCCTTTAAGGATAAGGGATATTTACAGGTTAATAGTATTCGATCATATACATATTCGAAGCATTGTTCGTATATTTTGGAACCACCGAATAAGTAATGATTGGGTTAGGGATAGAGTATTCGGTAAAGATGGAAAATCGATGTATGAGGTAGTAAATCCTCATTAATTGAGGTAGTTGGGACATGTAGAATGTATGCCCGACCATTGCCTACCTTGACGGGCGATGTCATCTAGCGTAGGAATAGGATAGAAGAGAGCTAGAGGCGGGTATACCAAAACATGGCATCAGTCCATGAGATCACTGACAGTTGAACTTAGCCATTGTAATATGTGCAGACTACCTAGTTGGGGTTCGTGTGATTATCGTAACTAATGGTTAGAGAATTTGAATGACATTGCTTAAAATCGTTTTCAGTGAAGGTCCATAAACTCCTTGTTAGTCGAATAAGTTTACTCCTTTGGTTTAGTCTTTCCTTCACATGTTGAGTTTATTTTACCGACCTCGACCCACTAACTATTAATGAGTATGGCCTTGGAAACCAGTGAATATGTTTTATCTTAAACACTAAAGAAATCACAGTTGCTTATTTTTCAGAATTTATAAAATTTATGACCGATGGTAGTTGAAGATAGTTAACTACAAACCATCGATTATCGACACCATTTATATTTTTCGTAAATTTTTGTTTTTTGTAACTTCTTCAGAATGTCAGGAGTAACTTATAGGCATCATTAAAATGATATGAAACAAGAAATACTGATAAAGACCTGGAAACGATAAAATGAAAACATACTGTGAATTCTACCATGTAGAACTGCAAAACTTCTATGGCCGCCCGCTGCAACGACATCTCTCCACACTTTAAAGTTCTTGACATTCCATCTGGAGAACGTACAATGTGTATGACGTACTGAAATCGGATTCTACGTAGTTCCATAAGGGCGATAACGGCATAATGTAAAAAGAGTAAAGTATCCGTCAAACTGCCGGCAAAAACTACTATGGAAAGATAATCAGATTCCTTTGGCTGTATAACACGAACAGTATAAAACAACCAAAATGCAAACAGAACAACTAACACAAGACAAAGAAAAAGAGTTCGACAAAGACGGATACGTGGAAGTATGGCAGTAGCACTGCCACAAAATGGTCGACAAGGGGAACTTAAAAACCACAGCGCGATAGCGAGAAGTACAAGTTTTACACATATACTGATGAGATGTCCTTCACAAGTTGGTTCACACCCTTCGGTCGACCATCCAATCCAAAACGGAAAAAGTGGGAGTAAAAGCATTAGAACTGGAGACAGTAATGAACCAATTGCCAGAAATGCAGAAATGGCAAAACTTAATGTATGTGAGCATTTGAACATTTTTATTTCATCCGCTTCGGATCGTATTAAAGCAGCTGCAGCACCGCTAATATTACAGCCGGTACCACCATTGGCATGTATACCTAGTGAGGTTGCTAGACCGTAACGTGCTCCAAATCGTGAGAAATTGTCGCCACTGAGTCCAGTCTCACTTGTAGCGCCAGTGACAGCAGTAGCCTCTTCAACCCAAGCATTCTCATCTTGGTTCGTAAGTTGTGGGTCAAAACGCTCAGACCGGTATGGTTCTGGAACTTGTGATGATGGTTGAGAAGATATCTGGGAAGGCGAAACATGGGATGCAGCAGTATGTGCTAAAGGATGCTGTTGTCCAGGAGGTATGAAAGAACCGACCTGCTGTTGTTGTGACTGAAGTTGATTTGATTGTACTCCTGCACAAATTGGGGGTCGGGTGAATGGAGAAGGCATAGACGGATGAATTATTTGTTGGGCATATACCTGCTGTACAGATTGATCGGTCCAACTCTGAGCGTTAGGGATGTACATGCTTGGCTGAGAACAAGAGGAGAAATTGGGGTTCATTGGCATTAAAGGGGGAATCCATGTTTCTAATGTATAAGGATGAGAATTAGGCTGTTGCATTCCTATTGGTTGCTGCGGGAACATGCTCATATGAGGCTGTGGGACAATTGGCATTAAATTGCATTGAGATTGACGGACAGCTGTATCCACATTTTGCATGCTCTGGCCAATAGCTAGTGGTTGGTTATGAGAAGCTAACACACTCTTTACTTGTCCTTGGAACATACACGCGGGTTGACTGGAGGTGACATTACTCGTCCGCTGAATGCGTTTTGACCGACGAGAACGGTCACTTTTTTCACTTCGTCCACTGCGCACACTTTCTCCATCCATATATCACCATTTAGATGGATCTAAGAAACAATAATGAATAATCGATAAATTTATTTTGGTATAAAGAATTTAGAAAAGCATTTTATTATAATAATTGGTTTTAAAATGGGAAAGCTTGGTAAAACGTCAGAAATCAACCGCAACTTTCACCTAAAGAAAATATTATCTTGTCTTCCCAAAATGAATATGTAACGTGGTCTTGAACATGGAGAGATAAAACAGGACATACTACTAGCATCAACAGGTTAAGACAAAAACAGTGAAGCAAGTGAAAATTTAAATGTTAAATAAGACCGACTTCCAGGTCTGAACCAGGAAGTTTTGACATACTCAAATGATTCACATAGTGGCTTAATAGACAGATACCAAAGCTTAATCTTCCAAAATACATAGTAAATTGACACATTCCTACTGTTAGCGGGACATAGACTAGATTAAAGCATGCTCAATGCATGATTGTTTTGGTGCACGCTGATTGACTGATTCTTATACAATCAGCACTAGTCGATAGTCGGAGAATACTCTGGAATCTTCTTATGTAAAAACTATAAATATACCAACGTTTTCCCCTATTGTGCTTCTGACTTGCTATTTGGAATATAATCTTTTTCCTGTTCAACCGTGTTCTGATTTGGGGACTTGTCGAGTGAATCGGTGTCCGAGAATACGAAGCAATAGGAATAGCTGGGTCATTAACCGTAAGAAGAAAGAGAGATTATAATACCTACTATTCTATTTAGAAATATCTCATCCACCAGGTCAACAACCCGACCTAGTAATCAACACCAAACATCAATACTTAGTAAGCCGAGGATTCTCCAGCACCTACGATTAAAGACCTGTAACACACTCATATCTTCTATCAGAAATATCTTAGAGAAAAGAAACAACGAGATGCTCGGCACTACCCACCACTTTAGAAGAAATCAGACAACTTGTTTGAACCCCCCGAATGCCTTGAAACGGCCAAGAGTAGGGAGAGTCAGCTCCCCCTCTCGAAATGCTCTCACATGGCCACGCGTATACAATCACTGTCAAGGAAGTCCTACTCACTGCCTTCACACGGCATGGTGTATGAACCATTTGTTGGCCATCGACTACCATGTGACCGCGTCTTGTAATGTTGCTCCACCGCCTTGTGGATTAAACCTTCAGGTCAAAGGTTCGAGGTGTTGCCCCTTAAAAAACCACCTGCTTTGGTTTGAGCGCCCGGGCAGTATCACATAAACCAAATGATTGATGAGGCACATATATACTTGGCGCCACCTTGTACAAATGTTTGTGTTTAAATAAATAAAGCTAAAAAGAAGCAAACGAGGCTTATGTATGATGATCAAAATCGTGCTAGTCATTAACCCAACAGAACTTGGACATCAGAATGGAGTAATCAACATAACCAATTATTTTACTCCTGAAAGTTGAACTAGGTAGTGGCTAACACTTTATATCATGTGAGAAACCTATTTCAAACACTTCTAGATTGTCACTTTTAGTCATTCAGTCATTATCAACGTAGAGACCGGAATAGATATATGAGTCAGCCTAAGCTACCATACCACAGCACGAGATGAAAATAACAAGACAGAAAGAAAAAGAGACCGAAATAATGCAGCAGTAATGATAATGAGAAAGACTAACCATTGAGTTTATGGTTCATGAAGACAGTGGAAGTGTATGAAATACTGATACTCAACATTCAGAGGAATCTACCTGTGCTGTTGTGAACTATTACGAACAATATCGACCGATCGTGTTTCTTGCGGACCCCCAACCAGTCACTCAGTCAACGGCTGCTGTCATGTTTTGGTTCGGTCACTCCTAGCTTTTTTTCTAATTTACTCCTATACCAGCAAACATCGACTGTCGAGATAGGCAGTGACCGGGTATAGGTAACACATCCTAACTACTTCAGTCGATGATTTTCAACTTTATCAATCGATGTGCGCCTTTACTCAGTACCCTATTCCTAACTTCACATTATGTTCAAAAGACCAGTTCGCCAACGTCCTTTCCGTAAGAGTAAGGTAACTTTAACCCCCTCATTTCCTGACGTGCCCCTCACAGGGAATAGTGATGGGCGTTTTTGTTTTCTTAGTGTAACTGTCTTAACAAACAGTAAGTCCCATGAAAGATAGAAGAGAAAGGGTGCCTGTAAACTTTGGGCTGCACCAGTGAGCAAGGAATTCCAAATGGGACTTATGAACTATAATGAATAGTATCCAAAATATGAAAGGAAAATATCCTACATAATATGTAATTCATCAATATCTTTTAATTTACTTTTATGTTACAGTTCTGCAAAATTTACAAAAACATAGCTTGGTAGAATAAAAACTACGAAGGACAACTTCAACTAAATTTAAAGATCTGATCCAGTTTAAATTGGGACCAACACATGAACACTGAATTATATGAAGCAGTTTCTGGGTTATATGAGTAGAATTCACAACTGGTTCTCATATTGTATAGTGTTGCCATGATGCATTCCAGTGGTTTTCGGAATGTCTTAAAGGTATTCGTGTAATCTACTAGGTCTGAGTCAAGTGGTACAATCTCTGTACAAATACAACTCTAAAAACTTACTGCACGACATACGTGGTTGTGATCAGTCAGTCAGTCAGTAACAACGTAGAACTTCGTACTTACGTACATCAGTTCGAGTTGCCATACCACATTAGCACAGAGATGCAGTTGTCGATTCAAATCCCGTATTGGTAGAGGTGGTAGGAGTATAAGCAGTAATCGGAAAGATTAAGATGTGATGTTATTCAAGGAGTATAATCCAGTGAAATTAACTTGGAAAGAGGAAAAAAGGGTTGAGAAGATTAGAATTCGGGAGAACACAAAGAGTGAATGCACCTGCGCCATTGCAAACGATTTTGAGCCATGTCATTCAGGGTCTCTAACCATCGGTTGCTGTCATCTCGCGGTCCCCAACCAGGTAGTCTACACCTACCAACATGACTCAGTTCACTTGTCAGTGACTTAATGGATTTGTGCCATGTTTTGGTCTGGCCGCCCTTAACTTTCATCCAACCTACTCCTATAACACTGAACATAGCACGTCGAGGTAGTCGGTCGTTGGGCATACGTAACACGTGTCCCAGCCATCTCAACTGATGAAGTTTCACTAATTCATCAATTGATTTGCCATCCTTACCTAGTATCCGTTCCCTAACAACTGCATTGCTTACTCGATGGTCCCAGGATATACGAGCAATGCTTCGAAGACACCTATGATCGAATACTAGTAACCTACAAATATCCTCTACTCTTACCGGCCATGTTTCACTGCCATAAAGTAGGACGGAACGAACTGCTGCGCAGTAAACACGTCCTTTGGTTGATAGACGGATATCTCGCTTACGCCATAAATGACGCAAGTTGGCAAAAGCTAGTCGAGCCTTCTGTATCCGTGCTGAGATTTCGTCACACACCAAACCACAAGGGCTGATGAGACTTCCCAGAAAGTGAAGCGGTCGACACACTCAACTACTTCACTCCCTATCACTAGTTTGGGTGTCGATGTAACCCAATCCTGAAGCAACATTTTGCATTTCGAGGGAGAGAATCGCATCCCGAACATGCTTGCATTGTTGCTTAGAGTGGTCAGGAGACTCTGCATTTTGTCAGCGTCTTCACCAAATAAAACTATGTCATCTGCATATTCTAAGTCAACAAGTGAAACTCCTGGTAGAAGTTCAACCCTTGGAAATGTAGATGAAGTGAGTGTTATCTCTAAAAGTAGGTCGACCACAAAGTTGAACAAGAATGGGGAGAGTGGACAGCCCTGACGAACACCACTTGAGGTAATCAATTCTGATGACAGTTCGCCATAAGCTCTTACTCTACCAGTTGTGTTCGAGTTGAGAGCCTTTATAAGGTTAATGTACTTCTTTGGTACTCCTTTCAGCGACAAACACTGCCATAGAACCTTACGATCAACAGAGTCGAATGCCGCCTTAAGGTCGAGAAATACTACCATTGTGGGGCGTCTGAATGTGTGTCTGTGTTCTAGAACCTGACATAGTGTGAATATCTGATCTATACAACCACGTCCAGGTCGAAAACCGGCCTGGTTTTCTCTAATCTGCTCTTCACGAGCTTTGATTAGGCGTCGAAGTATTATTGAAGCTAATATTTTAGACACTATATTAGTCAAACTGATTCCTCTGTGATTGTCACAAGAGGACTTTTGTCCTTTCTTATAGACTGGCACAATCAGTGATTGAGACCAGTCAGATGGGATTACGTCCAGTTCCCAAATTCTACCTAAGACCTCGGTTAATCTCATTGCTAATACTGGACCACCATCCTTAAAAATCTCAGGAGTAAACCTGTCACGTGGTTGTGATCGCTACTATATGGAAAAATGACTGAATTGGAAACAACGAAATCGCTATTTCCAGTATTCCTTAATGTTCTTTGAAAGTGTTGTTCAGTTTTTAAAGAATCATTTACTTAAGTACAAGTGCTCCAACTTTAGTACAGTAGATTACTGAGCATAACTGTGCGTAACTTTAGACATAATTCCAATCGTAGAAGAATTGTACATAAAGTTTCAACTCCGCTCCTATACTGTGACACTCAATAAATTAAGGTAAAAACGAGCAAAAAATAGTAACTAATCTTATATGGTAAGAAACAGCAAGAAGTCACATATACTAGTCTTCGGCTTTTGACTCATAAGAAACAAATCCCAGACAATCATAACTAATGTAGAACTAGGTAGGAATATCTATTGGTCTAGGTTGCCATACCTTATAATGGCACAACAAGCAACAAATCACCAGAGCTGAGAATGTCAACTATGGTAGGAAGTTAGACGTGCAGTATATAATCCAAAAAGAATTACCGAAATCAATGGGAGAGACTATACAAGGGATTCAGAAGATGAAATCCATCTTATTTATTTATTTCGACACAAATATTTGTACAAACGGGCACTAGAATAAGTATCCATCACAAACAAGATTACGAAGTGATAGAGTAAGTTCAGC